AAGGAATATTGGACAACCCCCATACATCAGTAACTACATCATCCCCAGCTAGCTCGGCTAAGAAGTTGGAGCAGCACTTGTGTCGTACGCATACAGCTGTCCTGGTATTTACAAAGCAATCAGAACCCGAGCTGTTTTCTCAAACTGGCGAGGAGGGACCCAAGCTATAGCGCAGGCCTGCTTTCTGAGGCTTTCTGGAAGCCTTTCGCACCACCACAAACCCAATAAATGCTCTCTCAGTGGGGAAGCCTCAGATTCATCAGTATGGAGATGTTGCTACCTTCACGTTGCCCATATGGATGTTTGTTCCGGCGAGTCCTGTCGACAGTGTCCTTGCGGAGGCAACGGTATCATCAACGCTGCCACGAGGCCCTTTCAACTTTCCTATGGGGCGGTGAAGACTTGCCTGCAAAGCCGGATTCTACATCCCTGGCTGGTCAGCTTGAGGCATTTGTACCGAGTGACACACAGTCGCTTTGCGCTCACCAAGCCCGTAATTTGCCACTTCGCTCCTTGTGGGCACAGTTAGCACATTGACTGGCATGCTGTGGCACCGTAACACGTTCATGGGCCTTGATGGCAGTCATGTGAGCATTGGAGTTGACAGCCCAGGTGTCCGTGCGCAGTCCCCCCTTGCACCTTGCCTCTATTGAACGCATGACTCGCGCTTTATTGAAGCCTGCTTGCTCTAAAACATGCTGAGTCTGACCCAGCGTTTGCACACTTGGTGGCCTTACGGGGTTTAGCTTGTTCTGCCGCAGTAGCAGCAGCTGAGGCAGACCGTTCCTTTGGCACCTCGGCTTGTACGCCAGTGCATACACGACTAGCTGTGTCCAGGGGCTGAAAGGTTTTCCACATTCAAAAGGAGCACACGTTGCATTGACTGTATGTTCGTGAAAGTCATACCAACGAAGTAGTGACATTTTACACGGCATGGCAGTGCATGGGCAAGATGGCAAGCGGTTAGACATCACCAGGATGCCCGACAGCTGAGTCTCGCTGCCATGAAATTTTGTTGGACTCAGGCATGTTCGTTTGTGTGTGATAAGACTACAGTGCAAATTGTAGTATGACATGACTTCTTATCGGGGCTCAGTCAGTTGTAAGGTTGTTTGGCCAAACAGCCGTGGTGAAGTGGAACGACTCAACAGCGAGGACAAGGCACCAGCCTGCTACTGACTTGCATGATTTCCAACCACCTTCAAGCCCCCTTTTGAAATCTGTTTTCAAGGATAACTGGCAGGTCACAACTTGCTCTGCAATGTATTTGGCTCAGACATGCTGTAGTTTGCAAAAGTCATGGTTTGTTGCCTTTCTGGCCTGGGCGGGGATGAGAATGGCTTGGCAGCTCCCTGGCGCGGTCTAGATCCTTTATCGTAGCACGGGCTCTTCATAGCACGTGTGAGCATAGCACTCTGCGTGGTTGCCTCACAAAATGCGTCCTTTGCAGCATTGGTGACACAACAGTTTGCTTGGCAACTCAGGTGGATCTGGTATCTGTTTTGCGCCCATGTCACAGTTTCCTCCATCCGAGAGGAGACATTCTGGATGGACCTTACTTCTTGGCCCTCACTTCACCTCAAAATTGCTCAAAAGTGCAGGTTTGACCTGCACCTGTCGTTAAGGGAAGGCAGCTTCATTTGGTAGGGCTCGTGCAGCAATGCCGGCTGCTGTGCTTGGAAAAGTGGCCCTGCCCTGATCAGGAGGACCCATTTTCGTTGCGACGGATCTTTCAGAAGGAGCGCAGCTAGGCTAAGATCCCAACATCAGCACGGCCCTCCAGTTTAGCAATAGGAAGCTTGCACTTCTGCTTTCTGGAGTTCTGGCAGCTCCCTACGTGAGATCTGCTTACTGCTAGCCCCTCATGATTGCAGGACACTGAGAAATCTGCCATGTACGACACTGTCGTGATGTTTGACGTCTTGAAGCTCTTAGAGCAGCTTGGCCTTGCAGCCCTCCACATGTTGGTGAAAAGGAAAACGCAAAGCTGCCTGAAGAGGAGAACGCCACAGCAACTCTGTGGAAGGCCGCTGCCTTCGGTCGTCCAGGTGAGTGAGGACTTGGAGAGAAAGTCTGCTGGCTTATTCGGATGGAGATGACCCAACTCAAACTAAGCTACACAACATCAAGCCACGCATGTCCTCCGCTAACTTAGGCTCCGGACAGCACTGAGCAGCTTCTTCATTATGAGGAGCACTGGCGGCAAGAAGGTGCGCAATAACAAGACATGCTTCAAGGCATTTGCAGCGGCATTGCCATGTAACAGAGTAACAAACATCATGTTGGGCTTGCCTTGGCCCTTGCTTCAGTAGGTGCTGTATGGAGATGGCGTGGGCTGGAAGCAGATCCAGGAGCTATTGCAGAAGATGCCTTACAGGGTCCTTTGCTTCAAGGCAGGCAGTCTCCGTTTTTCGCTTGGGTTCGCTGTCAACTTGTCGGCCAGCCTCTCTTGCTGAGTGGTCACCCAGGGGGCACGTGCCATCTAAACCAGCTTGCTGGCGAAAGAGAGCCTATGACGAAGCGTGTCCTTAGGACCGCAGAGAAAGGACCATGTCCCTCACTTTTTCGAGCTAGCTCACAATTAGTTTCTTGCATGCAGGCAATAGGTGTTGCATGCAAACCTTGCGTGCTTTATGTAAAAGGGTGACCAACCCCACCCCCATAACTTCGAGAAGATGCCTCGAACCCCTCTCAGGGCCATCAGGTCAGATGAGCAACAGCAAACTAGGAGAAGTTAAAGTCGAATCATTTCAAATTGAAGTCCCAGTTGCGCCCAAGGGAAGTACGACTTTGGGGCTGTAAGGCTTTGAAAACCTGGACGAGCAGCACCCACAAATCAAACCTGCTCTAGAAGGTGGTTCGCCCTGAAAGCCCCAGACGCCATCGCGCAGTCTGCTTTCCAAGCAACAGCAAAGCAATTGGTGAGAATGGTGCCAATGCTCTTTCCAAGTGCCAATGCTCTTTCACGGCATGATGGCTGGTATTGTCAGGTGAGTGTACCCAAGTGTGTGTAGCTTGAGATAGCTGGATGACTAAAGCTGCCAGATGCCAACAGACCTAAACCACATTAAACCACCTTGTGCTAAGTATTCAGAAATTACCACCGCTCTGTCGACGTTCTGGCTGCAACGATGAAGACTTCATTTTGATGCGCCAAGACTGCGCTGTCATGCGTTGCTGGTGCACCTTTCCAGCCATCGGCAAGCATGAGCACTTGGGAGTCACATCTGCGCACACAAATTCAGAAGTGCTGCGCTTGAATGCAGCAATATTTTCTTTCACTCCATGTTTTGCAGGAGAGCACTGGAACTCCAATGCCAGTACTGGGACGACTGTTGAAGGCAAAGCGAAGATCTGTGCCGGAGTGCCGGAAGCCGCCACATTGAATCCAAAGCAGGCAGATTGATTGCTTTCCAGCAGGTGGGTGAGTTGGAAGTTGACCACTTCAAGCGCCTTGCCTCAGCTGGGAGAAACGTTGTGAATTGCTGTGCAAACCGCTCTGCCGGAGGTCTTTGATGGATTTGGCGGTCAGCTTCCCAGGAGGCCTAGCCACGCATTACTTTGATGGAAGCACCTCTTATCCGAGGCTCATTTTCGCGTCAGAACCCAGCCAATAGGCAAGCTGACATTCGACACTCAGCTGTTGTATTTGAGCTGGGCAAGAAGCACCTTCGCAGCCCATGAAGAGTGCATGAGGCACGCTGTCAATGTACTTTGTGAATGCTTTTCTATTCTGATCGGGCACGGCAGAGGATGCTCAATTTCTCCAGATAAGGTGATGGGGAGTTCGCTTGACGGGCTAGGTTACGTCACTTACCCAACAGTTCGCTATGTGTGCCTGGCACAGATCAGCACTCGCATCACAGGACTTTGGCACAGATCTCCGTAGCTGTTGGACGGGGCTTCAAGATCTTGAAGATCGACCCATCTGCGATCCCCGGTCAATTGCTGATCTTGCCCAGGACGCATGACCGGCTAGCACCTAAACATGTCAAAGACATGTGTGTAGATATTCAATTGACTTCTGGCCATCTGGCGCAAAGAGCAGACCAGGACGTTGCTGGCATTCATGCAGAGAAAGATGAAACCGGGTTCCTTGGATAACTTAGTTTGTTCTCCTGGCGAGACCTCAGCGCGGCCTGGCAGATGTTGCGTTTTCAAGGTATTGCCTCAAAGAATAAAAAGCCCCAACAAAAATTGTCAGAGCTGGAACGCCAGGTTTGGTCCACAGGCTTTTAGCAAAGTGTCCCAGGAAGAGCGGCTCCGCCATTGTGACGAATATGCGGCGATTCATCATCAAAAACTTCAAGGCAAAACGGGGGGGCAGGTCCGGGCAGGGGTGCCAAAAAACCTTCTAAGTTCCTGATTATTTTTGACAGGAGGATGAAGACCCGGAAATTGTACGAGAGGCAGGGTGGAACGCTCTCTGCATGTTCTGACACGAAAGTACCTGCAAGACGCAGGTAATGCCTACTGTGGGGATGAAGGTGCAGGAAGAGATCAGAAAGCACGGAGGCTTCGAAAGGGCTGTCGCTGGTGCTTGGCTCTGCATACCAGCCTAGAAACAGACTCTTCATGCGACGGGGCGCAGGCTGCTACAGAACTGGGCACCTTGGCTGAAGGCTCAACAATCCATGTCCTGAGCGCGAGTGAATACAATCCAAGGATCGCACCGATCTGTGCCGTGTTGGACCTACCTGACATCAACAGACGCGTGCATTGGCAGCGCAGCTGCAGCAGAATGACGGCTTTTCGTTTCTGCGGTTTTCATCTGCTCTGCAACATTGAAGAGATGTCCTCAAGGAGTGTCATGCGGAAGGTCGAGCTGCCGCCGGCCTTCGGGAAGCGCACTTCAGCTAAAGTTCACATGAGCTCTCACATGTGGCACTTGGACTGCTCAGCCCCGCAGCAAGGGCCTTTGCTGCAAACATGTGCAAAACAATCATCGCCGGGCAGGCACAACCATGCTAATTCCAAAGGTTGCGTGCTCAGTTGACTGACATGCGAAGAGAGTGCCCTCACATGCGTTGAGTCCTTGAACCCGCAACTAACACCCAGTCAATAAAAACCATGGACACGAGCGGGTCGTGTATTAGTGAGGTTAGGCAGTCGGGAACGGTGGGCGGAATGTCGCCCACACCGCCCGCACGGCGCACCGCCCACACCGCCCACAGCGCCCGCACCGCACCGCCCAAACCGCCCGCACCACACCGCCCCGCACCCGCCCGCCCTGCCCGCCCCGCCTGCGCCGCCCGCGAGTTCAGGAAGTTTTTTACCCATAGCACTTCTCAAAAAACATCAAAAGAAAAAACAACTTAATATATTGTAGTAGAAATGAGTGACAATGAAAGTGTTGTAACAATAGGTTATGATGTTGATACAGAAACTGAGTACGGAAGAAAAGTAATAAATGATGACATGAAGAATGTACAAAAATGCAAGTTAATTCATTATCAATTGAGCACTAACTTTAAGATATTTTCTGAGGATTGTAGCAATTTGTTGTAATTTTTCTGAAGATGAGACAGAAGAGCATGAACATGATTTCTACGCTGAATACACTGAATTATATGATAAAAGAGTACACGATAATTTTGAAGACGTGTGTAACCATTATTTTGATGAAGACAAAGCTAAGGAACTAAAAGTATTAACAGAGGTATACAATGACTAATATAGAGATGACCACGATGACATTGAACTTAAATATTTCGTGTGTCATTATTTACATATCTTTTCAATGATCATAGCATACTTGAATGAAAGACATGTCTTCGATGATTCAATGGAATGGTTGAAGTTCATCATTATTGAGCAATGATAATGTAATAATAAAATTGAACTACTATTGACTGTACCACGCGACAAGCATTTGTGTGTAGACTACACGAATCCCCATGCCCCATACTATGCCCCATAAGATGAATAGCCTAGCCTGGCCCAGTTCGGAAGTTACATCACCTGAAAAATAGGACATTTACTATATGGTAAGGCAGATTGACAGATTGGGATATAGTTGGTTGACGGTGATGCAACTACCCAAACTAGGCAAGGCCCTCTCTAACTGCATTCGCATGAAGTTAACAGAATCGAATTGGAAACATGGAGTGCTGAAATCTGATGGCACAGAACTGTTAGGATTGAAGCGGCCGGCTTAGACATGAGCTGATGCACGCCGTTGCTCTGCATCGGCAATGGCCAGCTACTTCTTCGGACGTGATGGCATGTACCCCCAACTGCAAAATCCTGGGACACCATTTCATGAGCATACACGGGGCCATGGCTGTGAGAAGTGTTTCCGCTCACTCCTTCCAATGCTTCTTCAGACATGCGATGCCTTGCAAGATTTGCCCAAGGATGTTCTGCTCCTAAGTTCCTCATATAGCTGCAGACCTATTAATTAATATCGATCGGTGCAGTGTAAATAACGCTTGGCGTGCAAGCAAACTGGCTCTTAGTGCCCGCTGCTTCTCGCATGCAAGCACTTTGTCAACGCTGCTTTGGCGGTGTCGTGGTTGCAGCATGCTGTATCTCCGGCAACAAGCTTCCCAGACTGAGGATACCGAGAACGATGAGGTAGATTTCCTGGACGCCGTTTGAGCATATGGTGAATCTGCGAAGGTGCGTTCCGGTCTGTTCTGGCGCCAGGACCTCAAAGGCCCCAAATTCTGCGGAATCCGAGATGGTGATTGGCTTAACTTGAACGCTGCCGCAGCCGCATCGAAGTTTGCCACAAGTTTTTGCGAGTGCTTCAGGCAAAAGCTACTTCGGTGACAGCGTTGTTTGGCATCGAAAGGATGCATCTCGTCTTGATCGATTTTCATCACCTCTGATTTTCAGACGGCACCAATGATGTCGGCAGACGTCGGCAGTGTTGTTTGTTGCGCGTTTGTTGCGCTTGTTGAGGCTGGCTTCACGTCACTATTTCCTTCTGGCCTCCCTTTGCGAGCTTGTGGCAGCCGAGAAGCTGCAGCTACGCTAGAGATGGACCATCCGCCAATCTGCAGGCATTCACAGAAAAAAAACTCACAAACCGTTGCCAACTAAAGGACTCCGAGCTTCTTCGAGACTTAGACATGACAGACTACTCGCTCTTCCTCGTGCCTTACGAAATACCGTCCAACACGACGTGCCTTGGGGGAGAGTAGGTCCTGTGGCGCCAGCTGGCAATTCTTGAGTTACAGGCAGATGCTTCTGAACAAAGACTTTACGCATCTTTACTCCCAAAATCTCCCAAATTTGCACAGCAAAGGTGCCTGTGCCAGCATCAGTCGCCTCATTGGCCTTTGCTGCTGGATGCGGACAGCAACTAATGTACTGATCACGCTTCCAAGTCAGCGGCACAAGTACCACATTGTGGTGAAGCATAAGCTGAACCATGTGCGGCATCAGCGCGTAGCAGCATTATTCAATGTACAGTACGGCCAAAAGACTCACTTCTGGCAGGATCCAACACAGCGACCAATGCGATTCGCTGTTCAATCCTCAGAACCCAGAGCAGCGCCCCCAGCATAGCAATCGTAGCAGATGCAGCTTATTTGGCCCAAGGTGGGCATCATTGACTACCTGGAGCGTGCTTTGGCTGCAGAAATTTCGGGACGCTGCACGGTATGGATACTTCCGAGTCATCTGAGGGCAGGTCAGTTCCTGGGACCAATTGTATCTTGGCCGGATCGAGCGCATGCTCTATGTTTCATTTTTGAGGGTGTCGCTGGCTTGGCTGCACGTCTGCCAAACACATGCTGGCTGGCAAAGCACCTAGTCTAGTGCTAGTTAGTATACAAATGCAGGCGTCGTATACTTGAATCACAGTCTCATTCTCTGAGGTTCCACTTCTCAGTGAGCACGTGACTAGGCTTGCAAGTCTCTGTCGCGTAAGAGCTGCTTCACATTTGCCGTAAGATCCATGGTTTTCTGCCTACGAGAAAAATGCTGAGATTTCGAGAGGGCAGTGCATTGCAATCTATGCTGCTCTGTGGATCCCTGGCTGGCAGCAGTCTGAGGATGAAGGAGCCCGCGGAGTATCAGGATTATTGGATGAGGCTCGTGGCTTCTCGTGGCCCTGCAACCATCCTGGTTGAACATGTCTTTGGGGCTTGGTCGTTCTCAGGATGTGGCCCATGTACTTCCACATCCCGAGATATAAGGTGAGCGCGGATGGCAAGGCACAAAGTGAAGACGAAACCAAGGTTTCCAAGCGCATCTATCGTGGGATCCGAAACAGACGCCAGGGACATGTTTGGGAGGTCACGCTGGCGAGCAGCCCTTCAAGCACGCCCGCTGTAGATGAGCTCGCACCTCACAGATGCGTTTTTTCGCGACGCATGCTCGGTCTATTCGTTGGCCGATTTTAGAGAAAGCAAAGCCCAGGTTTCAGCTCGATCGTCAAGTTGCAGCTTTGCAAAAGATCAAATGGTGCCTAGACTGCTCTCAACAGCACTGACAGCCAAGCTTTGGTCACAGATCTGCTTTCGATTTTGGATTGCTTTTGGCTGACACTTCGCTGTGTTTGTCCTAGGAGGGGCGATGCCGCCAAGTACCGCAGCACTCTCAGGATCTCTCCGGCTCTGTGGAGTAGAGCACTTTTCCCATTGGCTGAGGAGTCGATCTGGAAACCGCAAGCGGGAAGCAGAAGTGCTGCTTTGACAAACTTCAGTGTGCGAGCGCGGTTGAGAAGTTGGGAATAGTTGGACTCGGTTGACGTGAATCAGCAGTCAGGCACTGGCTCCATTCAAGCAGTTTTGCAGATTCTGGCCATGCGGTGAGCATTAGTCTGAGAGTCGGAAGTCTTCTGCGTAGACCTGGGGCATCAGTTTGTATCGGTAGAGCTTAGTCACACTACTGGGCCTTCCAAGACACATCCCCACATATCCCCACCCTTCCCTGACTCTCCGTGAAGCTGCTGCTCAGCTACCAGCCTGTCCAGACGCAAACTGAAATCCGTGATCTCTGGCCTGTCAGGGTGTAATTGGCTTTTCACATATGAGGTTTGGCACGAAGGCTTTCAAGATTTTGAAGTTGTTGGAAGCTCGACGACTGCTAGCTCGGTTGCCCAAGACCGGTCGTGCGCACAAGGATGGAACCATCAGCAAAAAAGTCATGAATGCGCAAAGGGTCTCTTTGATTTTGTGCCAGTTTGCGGCCTTGTCCGCCCACACTGCTAGGCACTGTTGTGGTGTTTTGACAGGGCTGAATATTCTGCTGCAAGCACCTGAAGCTTGTAAAGCCACTCCGGCCAAGCGTTGCCATTGCAATTGTGCAGAAACCAGCCGCGCATTCTTCATCCAGGAGTTCTTTCTCGGGTCCCTGCAGCTGTTTGCAGGATTTTATTTCGTGTATGTTGTTGGCCCCGGTGGAAAGGTGAACCCAGGAAATCTTATGTCAGCAGATGATCAGCCTCTCGCTGTGATAGTGGGAGGCGAGGGTTGGCGACGACAAAGTCTGAGCTGCCCGCAGTGATAGCGGGAGGCGAGAGTTTCGATGACAAAGGCTGGCGACGACAGCGCTTGAGGATGCATGCCTGAAGGATTCTATTTCAGGCTTCCGATCCACGTCACGTCAAAGCCCCATGAGCATTTCAAATCGGTGATTCCTGAGGCCCTGACCCCTTTGATACAGTACGTATTCTCGCTTGCCTCTCATGCCCCGGGAATTTGTCCAGATAAAATCCGGGGGGATAGCCTGTCCAACCCCTGGATGGATGGTTGCATGGAATGGATGAATGGATGGACGGACGGCTGCTAGCATCAAGACGGGCATAGAATTGGAAAAGGAAACTGCTAGCATTCATCCCAAGACCGGAGAAGCACGTGGAACATGCCGTGGAACTAGGTTCATATGATTCGAAAAGCTGGGCGATCAACCCCACTTCAGGAGGCTGAGAAGCTGCTATTTCCAATGAGAGTGGTAGTTTATAATGCAAGCTTCGAGAACCAGCGCAGAACCAGGCAAAGCCCGCATGGCTGAACATGCTCGATGAAGCAGTAAACAAGGAAACAGCTTAAGCCAGTTTCCAAATTTCAACTGCGCCTTGTCACCAGTCCTGCATCTGAGCTCAGGCACGGCCAGTCTGAAACGAGCAAAGAAGAAGTGGTAAACTGGTAGCTGGGAGGCGCGCATTTTATCAACGCTCGCTCTGCCATCGCACGAACGTAAGCGCTGCAGCGCACCAAGACTGCCATCCCCGATCTAGATCAGGAGGATGCAGAAATCAGGGGCCCGCCCCATGGAGCTAGCCCTGCCCAGAACCGAAAGGCATCTAGACTCCTTGCCCAGAAACACGGCTCGCAGGAGCTCGGATCTATGCACCCTCTTCCGTCCTGCAAAACAAGCAACATCACCGGATATCACCGCCAAAGAGCTGCCATGGATGCTCCTTTGGGGCAACGAAGAACCTTGACAGCCGACGGAAACAGGCCAAGGCCTGCTCACCAACACAGCTGAAGTTCTACTGTACAGTCTTCACCCCTACATCCTGCGGCAGTACGCTCTGTGATATCCAAACGACTTCATGTTGAGTGGCAGTTGGATAACAAGTCAAAGGCTGAATGTGTGCAAATGCCGGACACGTGGAACCCGGCGCTCAGGCTATTTTGCCCAGACGGCAGAGACCTCTTCTTGCACACCTGCCAGCGGCTCCAAGTACAAGGCAAAAGCTTTGGGGTGGGTTGTTGGAAGGGAATTATCCCAATGAGCCCTAAATGAACCCAGTGTCTGTTTGACTTTCCATTTCTCCAGTATTGAGGCTGCAACCCCTAAGCCTTAAACAGTCTCGAACCCTGACAGCATCAGATCCCATAGGTTCTTGGTGTAAAGTGCAGGTAGAACTCCGGATCTCATATAAACTACCCCCCAACAGTGGAGAATCAAACGGCAAAGAGCATCGAACATGCGATAGAAACTCAAGGTCCCGTCAAAGGGGTCATAGAGATAATGTCTAGGGTACTCTAGGGTTAATATAGGGTTAAGGATAATGGAGGATCACATGGAAAAAGCATTGAACATCAAATGGAAACCGGGTCTTTGTGGGGGCTTCTAGGCAAAGCCTCTCCATTGCATCAAACACTGGACTCCGCTGGTGGACAGGTCTATGCAGGTGACCGTGGCAAAATCGTTCAAGTGTCTTCCTGCGACAATGCCAGCAACAATTTGGCTGGTAAAGTGGTGGTAAGTTGGGATGCTTGCCTGGTATAGCCTCATTTTTGAGTTGTGCCAGGAACATTCGAAGCCTATTGCCTAGATGCAGTAGTGAGGTCAGGGTCGCTACATTTGCTGTGAAAGTAACACTTGGCTTGCCTGGGACATGCACTGCCAGACTTTGCAAGACGGATGCATGCGGGGCAAGAATGGCAGTCATTTTGTAATGCAAGTCCTTATGCGCTTGTCGTCAAGTCTTCCGCACCAGTTGCAAGGAGCGATACAGAAATGCCGGGAAAGTGTTTGAGGCACTGACTCCATGGAGCTTGAACAGCATGAGCAGTCCGTATAACGTATGCGGCATCAAGTGTAGCAGGTTGCATGGTGCGCGCAAGAACTCGGGGGGATGTGCTTCAGTGCTGGAGGTTTCCCCTGAGCAGATCATGAGCTGGGACTCTGCGTGATTTCCGGGCCATGACTTAAACGGAATGGGCGCTTGAGCTGGGAGAAAAGAGTTTCTTAAGTCACACGTGAAGCTGCCTCATGAAGCGTGGCCCCATTTGCCTTAGATGCTGCGCTTCTGACAGGAGTTGCCACGCTCCCCAACCTGGATTCAGATCAGCTTCTACCCGGAGGCATGTCGGCCAGCTGCGCGGCAAACTGGGCCCGTGGAGCATCTTCCATTAAAAGTTGGTGCGGAAAACACCCGCAGTCAGAAGCGAACACGTGCGGCCAGTGCATCAAGCAGGTCAACTTTTGCCCATGCCAGCGCGGTGCAGATGTCATCAGATCTTCTTTGCTGACACGGGCTAAGCTGATAGCTTGCTTAGTGTGCCTTTCTTTCTCACGGCGGCCTACCTTGGAGAAAGCTTTGCAAAGGCCAATGCTATATTGTAAGCCGCGGCCGCATGCTCCACCATCCTGGATTCCCAGCTGGAGTCAGGCCGGCATGGCTAAGCTGAATGTTTGGAGCTGTTTTGTTTGGCCGTGTGAGGAGTTGGCACAAATACCTTATGGGCCGCCGAGAATCAGCAAGTATTTGCAGGCATTACAGCGTCATGCCTGCTTAGAATTCTGCATGTCATCATGCATGCTCTCCAGATCCATCTCTTTTGCCCATTCACAGGAGGAAGGTCAAGATGCAACTTGAAAGCAGAAATTGAAGCAAGCCGCGACTGCTAGAGCGCATTCCATGGCTTGGCCTGGGCTTGCCAGAGATTAGCAGTGGCAATGTGCTGAGTATAGGGCTTTCAACGTGATGCAATGAAATAGAGCCAAGCATTTTAAGATGAATGAATAGCCGCGAGGTCTGGAGGCTAGAATGTTTGTATTGAGAGTACCGAGGCAAGGAAAGTGACCGACAAGGCTGTTTGGGACGAGGCATGCTCGACTGAAGCAAGACGAGTCATTGTAAGCGCTGGAGCGCGTCCGCCTGGGAGCTTTAGGAAGCCTGCTAGCCAGCATAAGGCGTGGAATTTTGTGCGAGGGTGCAGAGGGTTGCCTAGAGCGTACCGACTGCGCAGGAGCCAGGAAACGTGTTGGTAAAGTGTAAACGTACAGCTAAGCGCATCATGCTGCTCCGAGCTGAGGATTTCTCAATGCCCAAAAAGGATCGAAAAAGGCAAAATATTTTATCCTTACCGTAACTTTGGTGCTTCCGCTTCAGACGTGTTGGTGTTGGTGAATGAAGGTGAGTGCGGCTGGATCTTTGGCTGGAAAGTGCAGCAATCATGGAAAGTTGTGCCTCGCTGAACTTGAGGGGCTACGGGGCCTGGAGAGAAGGGACCGGCTCCTGGTTTGCCTGTTCCAGATGCCCTTTGGCAGTAAGCCAACGGGATCAAGAAACAAGTATGAGCAAGTACTAAATCATTCGGGGGTTGTGGCCCCAAAACCGCGACATACCGTGCCGCTGCGTTTCGACCGGTAAATGCGATGCATAACGATAAAGCCCATGCATAGTGGGCCGCTGCATGCCCCCACCATTTGATTTGCAGCTACCAGTACCTCGCAACAGTACCTGGCTCTGCAGTTTGGTAGTCAAGCTTGACAAGCAGATTTTTTGCAAGGGAAACTGAGTCAGCTTCATTGTGATAGCAGATGGCGTGCAAGTGCCTTGAGCCGCATAGGTATCCAGGTTGCATGCGGTTCAATGTCATTTGTGTGAGAAGCATGGCCTGTTTTGCCGTCCATGTTCTTGTGTTATGCCCGTCAGTTCCGCGCTCCAGCCCTACGATCTTTCTTCAACCGCCATGAGCCCAGAAAAGATCGCAGTGACATGGTACTTCAACCCCAGGCCTTCCGATTAATCTAGTGACCTGGTAGCATTGTTGATCATGTTTTTGCTGGGGAGCATGCAGGCAGCTGCATTCTTTGCAATGCTATTGCCTTAGGCGTATACAATGTGCAGTGTCACATTCCAAAAGCGCCATAGCCGGATGCAAGCGCATGCAAACTGATGCCAAGGCGCCTTGCCAGAGACTGGTGCACTGACGCGACTTGGACACCTCCAGCAGACTTTCCTGACCTGTGACTTCGAATTGAGCACTCAGGTTACCAAAGGGTTCGCCTTACACAGTGTATCCAAGTCGCTTCGACTCTGCAGATGCGGAGTCTGAGAAGCAAAGGCCTCATTTTCTGCAAGCTATGCAAGGATTCGTTAACATCTGCTTCTCCTTTGCAAAGCTGCACTTTGCCAAGGATCCGAGCACTCCACGACCTTGTGGGCCTGCGCCTGGAGACTAGACTACGCAGAATGTGACGAGTGCGCAGTCCGTTTTTTGGTTACCAATGCAATAGTTCAACCCAAGGAAGTCATTCCAGGGGCGCAGCTGCATGAATGGGACGAGAAGGTTGGGAGTCTTTGGGCAAGTACTTGTACCATCACGAAGCTAGAGTGCAGCTGTTTTGTGGGAAGCCCGGCATCTAGTGTTGGAGGACCACTCTACTCTGAGAATGGCTCGGCCTCCGAGTGTCACAGATGCAGTGCTTCCGATGCACAGAGACATACCATGCAGCAACATGAGCTTAGCTTTGCCAAGCGTAAAGTGATTTTGCATGGGGATGGAGGTTCCTTGGTTTGATCTTGACTGAGTTTGCAGATTTTCAGTTGCGCAGCTTATAGCTTTGCTTGAAAATTCCTTGCCTAGTCCATCACGGAGCAGCGCGGTAAGGCAGAGGGCCCTCCAGAAGAAGAAGATATGCTCATACACGGTGAGCGACTTTCCTGTATCAGTGATTAGAGTTCGGGTTCCTTAGCACTGCCATCCCTATCTCATAGGCAATTCGTATCAACTCGTAGTGGCATATAGTGTCAATAACGGCCAGGCAGCAAATGTGGGGGTTCTTTTCAAGGTCCCTGTCTTTCGGTCGTATTCGGGTGGCCATTCGAGATGATTGAACTTGTCAAGGCTGTTTTCGTGAAAGTTCCACAGCAGGAAGTATTACATGGTCATCCCCTATCCCTCTCTTACGGTTGAAAGCTGTGAGGCTCTTACTGTTCTCAGTAGTGGGTCTGGGCCGTTCCACGCCCACACCGCCACTTTGCCCCGATTTCAGGCAGCGATTCGACATACTTGGACTTTGCAGGAACATGCGCGAAAGTTTCGCGAAACCCACCACAAAAGCTCAGAGTTGTTTGGAAGCCAGTCGCTTGCGCAGGCCGCTAGACATTCTCACATCCTGCTTGAGTTATGCCTCAGAGAGTTGTTGCAACCACTCCCTCGTAGGCATAGCGCGGGATGCAATTTGATTTAACGACTTTCGCATGGAACGCCTTGTTCTGAAGCTGCACTCTTTTATTCGTTGAGGTTGGTGCCCACATCGCTTCGGCGACTGGTTGTGCGAGCAGCTGGCACGCAATGGCATTTCGACCCTCAGAGTGGAGGCGAACCCTTGGCAATCCACGAGGTCCGGATTGGATAGCCACTAAACGGCCAGTGGAAAGTGAACTGAATAGTTGGATGTGGCTGATCGATGCTCATTCTTGCTCTCCAAGATTTTGTCTAGGAGCAGGAGGAAGAGCACCAGCTGATGCAGCCGTACAACTTCTATGTTCGCCGGCATTTGGTACGCCAAAGGAAGTCAAGCCAATCTTCGGATGCAGCTCCTGTTCTGCACAGAGCCCCTCAAAGCCAGAGTGATGCACCACTGTTGTTACATGTCGTCTGCAGACGTACAGCTGGCATTTTTTGCCTGGCAGCCGGCATCTCAACGAAACGGAAGCTTTCACAACGTTTCTAAAATCGCCGGGCCAAGCTTGTCACAAAAAATGCTCTTCTCCAGGGTCGTGATTGTTTCAGTGATTCCAAACGTGTTAAGCCAAGCAGCTTTGCGCGTTCAGTCGCAGCCAGTGGACAGTCGATAAGAGCACGAAGAATCCGGCAGGCGGGGTGCTCGTGTAATGAAGGTTGAGGGCCTTGATACCTTGCACCCGATGCACGTGAGCCTAACCGTTCCAAGAGCAACTCCCACCTCGGCAGCTTGATGTTTTGACCACTCCATTGCAGAAGTTCATGCAAAGACAGGCGGCAGATAGCATCTCAGACATCTTCCGAAATAAACGCGTACTGTTAAAGCCGAGCTTTACAGCCTGTGACAGCAAGATGTCTCTGAGGACCTGATCTGAGTATCCTTAGTTCTGATCTTGACAGGGTGATCAAGTCAATGGACGCTCCAGACTCGTCAAATTGTCTGAATCCCTGCCTTCAAAATTCACACAGCCTTCGACTTATTCCAGAAGACAGTCACCCACTAGGAATTGAGAGCAAGGCTTCGCCCAATCTGCGGGCCTCCTCGACACTGTGGACTCAAGCTCGAGTACGTTTTCATGCGCCTGCCCAGCCAGACTGGAACAGACTGGATGCTGTGGCAGCTTGGCATTGAGAGAAATACATGTACTTGCACAGGGCATGTGCTTCAGCAAAGACTTTGTGAAGCAACTCCTAACTCGGGAAGCTTCACAGGTGGCGGGTGGCCTGCGCATGCCCCCAGCATTGCCCTATCCAGTCAAAGCAGGCCGGCACTCGTAAATCCACCAAACCGTTATCAACTTTGTACATGCACATGTTACCTCATGTATTCCCATGCAACTGACACTTGCTGCTATGTGCTGCTTATTGAATTTTCCACTCTAGTTTGCACTGTCTGAATTGCATTGAATTGCAGTTGTTAACGAATTCCATGGGTTCCGATTACAATGTTTTTGTCATAGGCAGTCGAGGGCTCACGCATCTTCTGTTTCGAAAGTCAAGCCGCAGCAGGACCAGACGGACAACGAGCCCAGGATCCTTGCATAGGTGGGGTTTTCTTCTACTACGCATGCATCGCTATTGCTGAAATCTTGCGAAGCTTCTGTCTATCAGGCTGGATGCTACGCAGCGCACTGAAGCAGAACCTGTTCGTGCTCAAGCCTCCCAGCTCTGTGTCACATGCTGAAATCTTTGAGCAAGCTGTGGAGCAGCTGGAGGGAAGGTTTGAAGTCGGCAAGGACTTCTTCCTGGAGCTGCAGTCCCTCGGCAAACCCGTTCTTCCCAGCGACATCAGGCAGCAAACTCTGCAAAACTTTTCTGCTTTCAAAGCAGACCTGGAGGAACTATGTTTTGGAAGGAGGCAGCCTTTGTTATCACCTCGCAGCTCAGTACATGCAGATGATGATCCCGAAGGCTTAGACATCAGTGAGGATCCTACTGGGGCGTCTTTCCTCGTCAGACGTGGGTGTAGCACCGTCTACATACGGGACACAACTTTGCAGACGGCGTTCCATGGCAGTCGTGATTGGTTTGAGCTTTTCTACGACGATGTGTTTGCCCCACCAAAGCTGTTCAACTTTGTCATCCAGTGGCTTGTATCTTGGTCAAGTTGAGCAAGCGGAGTGGTTGTTGGTGTCGTGCAAAGTCATAGGGGCGTGTATGTGATGCCGGTCGTACGCTTCTTTTCTTGGGTGAAGTTCGGCCCAGGTTTAACAGGAGCGCGCAAGGTCGGGTGAGCGAAACATACATGCTTCCGCAGCATACCTCGTGCTTGTAACATACTGTCGAAGCATTGTCACATGCCCAAAACATGCATTCCCAAGTTGCCTCTAAATCTTTTAGAGGAGACCCCTAACCCAACTTCCTGTGGCCGGCTTACTCATGTCCGCCTAAGTTTAAGTCAATATGTATATATGCATATACAATATATATGTATTATCTATTTGTATAGAACCTCTATTTGTATAGAACCTCTGTACACATACGTACTAGTCGTGTTCATGTATATGTATGCATGAACTCAACTGAACTTGGCTGACAGAAGTGTTGGTCATTACTTTCCTGCAACTGCAAGGTGTGCTCCTCCACGCACATGGTACACTTTGTGACGTCATTTACTCGCATTGCAGAGAAACATGGCTTCACGTTGATACGGCTACCGATAGCACAGCTTTTTCCACCACCAGCACCCTACTGGGTCTTCCGCAACTTCAGCAACGACCGCGAAACCGACTTCGACCGCTTGGCTTTCTACCCCAGGTCACTGGACGAGAATTTATTCATGTTTATCAGACAGACCTTGCATCAATTTGGTCGCAGCTTGCCCTAGTTCAGCACTGGGCTGCGTGGCATGGCTCTGCTTGGCACCAACTGCGTTCTAGCATGACTATCTTTGCCGCCCTTGAAAATTGCAGTCTAAATGCAGGTTTCTGAAATAGCCAGCAAGGAGACAAGCTGCCAAGCCTCATCTGCAAAGTACGCAGGCGCAAGATTTCGCTTCCGGATTGCGGAGGGGACCGCACACAGCTTTTTACGAAGTTGCGTGGCTTGCAGTCTAAGTGATTGTACGGCAGCTGAGGCTGCTGCTGTTGCTGTAAAGATAACAGACGCATGTCACATGAGCCGGCTGTCCGTTCGAGGCCTCCTTTCTGAACGGCTGCGCATGTTGTGCTCAGCTATGCGATCATGCAAAGGGGTGAAGACGTGGAAACTGGACACGTGAAGAGCGGTCAAATTCACGGCATGCTTAGAAGGAGGGACTGTGCAGTAGTGACTTGAGTAGAGGAGACGTGCTTCATGAACAGAATAGTTGAACTTCCAATGCTGCTGGTAATATCGAAGTACACGGCCATGGCATGCCTGACATTCCGCAGCAGAGGTGAGTTGCAATGGGCAGGCAAGTCTCTGTTGCTTGTATACGTAGACTTCGACCATAGAACTGCCTAGGCTTCTGCGTGCATGGCTTCGGAAGCCCTTGGACTTTCACTTCGTCTACGCGACGCAAGACGTGCCCGGTAGTTTCTGGTGTTGCTTTCAACTTTCAATAGCTGTTTCATAAGCTACGCCGCTGAGACAAATTTCAACGCCTGGCGCTGTTTTGAAACCAGCGCACAGGTGGCCTTCGAGGTTGAAGAAGTCAAGGCACCACTCCGCGAAAAGAGCCATGAGCTGTTTCAAAGGCAGGCCTTGCTTTTCCCGTGGCAGGGACGGGATGGGATGTGCCTTGAGCTGTGTAACTGCACATGTCTTTGACAAGGGTGGTAGTTTGATTGGAGGCTGAAAGGCTGGATTCTTTGCAACGCAGATGGCCTGTGCTTGGTTGCTCTTCGAGAAGAGACCGCTTACTGGTACGAGAACCGTCTGCTTCTTTCTGAGACTTGACCGTGGTTGAGAATCCACTTTTAGTTTCCTCTGCTTATGGTTTTGGAATCATTTGAGTCCATGTTTAGGTTTAGGGTGTCGGTGGTACATGCAGGATGCCCGTGATCCCGGCGTGCATGAGGAGAAGCTCGAGAGGATAGAGGTGCTCTAAAGCTCAGGCCTTGTTCACCAACAGCTCTGTTGCTTTTAGGCGCTGCGGACGAAGTTCTACGAGGTGACAGACGAAATCCTGGCTGCTGTGGCTGCTGAAGCGCTGGCAAAAAGTGTGCCAGCATGCTTTGACTCCCAGCGCACTCTTCCCAGTCCATTCGAAAGCGGCTTTTCCCCGAAGTGGAGGAGCTCCAGCAACACGACCAGTCTCGTCATCCACTTGGAAGGTGCCATTGATGATCAGGATCTTTAAGTCACTTTACCTGTCTCTTCATCGGCGCTGAAGCAATAGGAGCTGAGGTGTCCACTTTGCCACGTAAATGGCATGTATGGTTCTCGCACTGCTAGATCTTTACGCTGCTGGCTCTATGGCTTTCCACTTGCCATATTTACGCTTGCCTTTGCTATCCTTACCTCTGTTTTTAATGCGATCAATCTCCATCGAGGCTGCATCAGAAATTGAGCCCAATGTGCCAAGTTCAGTCAAGCCGCAACACCAACAGTACAAGTACAGGGTTCAACCACGGAGAGTGGCTTGAGTGGGCGCATGCAGGTGCTTAACAATCCTGATGATTTCAGTGTTCTTGCAGGTGGCAGTGTTCGAGCATTGGCCACAGTAAGTCAAGTTCAGCTGCCCAAGATACTAGGCCAAAAGCACGATGCCGCAGGTTAGATGCCAGAGGTTCAAGGTCAGACGCCAAAGGTGCAAGGTCAAGTATCCAAAGTTCAGGACCAGGAGTACAAGGCTGCCAAGAGTCTCGAACAATAAGCATCAGAGTTATTGGGGTGCTGAAGGGCATGCAACGAGCGTCGTTGCTGTTTGCAATTGATTTGCAGGTTCCACGGCAGTCTGGTCCTCAAGAACATTAGCCGGGCAATCTCACCGCACGGATTGCCGGATAGCTGGCTTACAGATTGGCCTAGATACGGACTAGACTGTGTGATGAATTCGTATGTGCAGAGCAAACGCTGAGTAGGTCTCCACTTCTCTGGGGAAGCGGCACGTAATCAATACTATTACATTACTTTCCATGAACATCATTTTGACACGCTTATCTGGAAGCAGCACACAATTTCGATCAGGCCATGACAGGTTTTGGCATGGAGGGTTTGGTTGGGATCTTTCTTGGCAAGATCTAAGTGAAAAAGGATGGTAGGCCTGGTAAGACTTTCGTCAAGCCTGGAGATTTATGTGGGCGGTGTTTCCCTCCGCACAGTGTGCACTCCCATGCGGAGTGCGTGTGGAGTGACCCTTCCCATTTCGGATTGAGGGATTCTGACTCATGACAGAGCGTGTCCGGATTACGGAATGCAACGGATATTGAAAGAAGCCGGCAATTGTTGACCAGTCTGCACTTGTAAGGAGCTGTGGCTACCGGCTGCCGTAGCCGTGCTTGCTGCAACGAGGTTCTTCGGCGATCAGCAGAGCTCTGAGCCTCCTGTGGTGATCAAAGAGGCTCAAATACGCTCTCAATGTCGCTGCTTGCACAGAGCTGCGTTTTGTTCCAGTTTCACATCTGACGTGATCCTCAGAAGCGCTTGAGTTACAGATTTGGAACATTCAGCTGGTTTCGGCATGTTGTCTCACGTGAGGCATGCTAAATGACAGGACTACACCCTTGCGGGCATTTTCTCTGCGTTGGGCCTCGCTCTCTGCACTTTGCCATACCTGGGGTCTGCAACCCAGATTGCATGCAGCATTGAAAGTTGCACAAAAAGCTGGCTGCCTGATTAAGTAAGGTTTGGACTAGGGGCACTGATAACCTTGTTGGGCATTCTCTTCTTTGCCCGATGCTTAGTTGAGGGCCTTCTGCTGTGGAGTACTCTCACACAGCTTGGGTTTCAAGGTCCAAGCTGGCAGGGTCCGCTTCGTCTTCGACAACGAGGCCCTGGTTTCGGAGCAGTGCATCTTAAGAAGGGGACACTCTAGGACGGTTTGCTCGCTTTTCATAAGTCAATCGAGGTTCGACGGTAGGTTCAACCAGTCCCCATCCTTGTGCTTCCGCAGCTGCTTCATCGTAGCGCGAAATTCCTCAGCGCTTAGTGTAGTCTTGCCTTGCATAGGGGCAGTGAGAGTGATGAGATGAAAGGGAGAGGCAAGAAGTCTGCAACCAAAGAGAGAAATAGAGAAATCAATAAAGAATAGCGGTAAGGAATCAGTCATGAAAGCAAGAAGCACAGACATCAACACAAACATCAAGAAACAAGAAATGACAACGGAAGGCGAATTCATAACGACAGAAAGACGCAGTCAAGGATCAAAATACACGCAGAAGGTTATACAACTCGTACTTGTACAACTGATTTTACTATTCTATTCTGAGCGTTATTGCGATTTTTGCGATTATTGTTATTCCGAGCATGTTCATTTACGATGTTCCTCATCATACTGTCAACATTAGGCTTTTACAGCAATCCTCAATAGTGGATACTAGGGTTCAGAAGCAACCCGTGTCCATTAATCTTCGGGGGAAATATTGACATGAATCATATCGTTCATCATATTTCATGGTTAATCACTCAGGATTGTCAACCATTGTTCATCATTTTCTATCATGTATCATCATCTTTCATCATCTTTGATAATTTTAGTCATCTTTCATCATGCTTGATCCGTTCTAGTCATCTTGCATAAGTTTTCATCTTGTCTACATGCTTTTCCAGCATCTTTCATGACTTCCCATCATTGTCTTTCCAACATCGTTCATAGGATTTCATCAGCTTCCATGATTTTGCGTACTTTCAAGACCTGTTCATCATGCTGTTTTTGTCCCTTTTAATCATTTGCCNNCCCCCCCCCCCCCCCCTTCCCCCGCTGAGCTAAATCATATGTCATCATGTCTCATCATTCTTCATCACATCCTAGATTTGTCCATCATGTCTTCTAATTGTGTCATAATATTCATTCACTTTTCGCATCACTGCTTCATCATGTTGATACCATTTTGCCTTTTACTGATTGTTTATCATTGTTCATTATTTTCCATCGCGCTTTACCATGTTTCATGCTGTTTCATCACTTTCATCATGATGGAGTTCATCACGTTGCATATTTTTCTTCAGGGGGTCCGGAGTTCAAGAAAGGAGCATGTTTGACCCCTCCGAAACATACCCGCACAACATGCCTTTCGTCAAGAGCCCAGTACTACAAAACGTACCTTGAAACATATCCCCAAATCCCAATCCAAACACGATTTTTTGATTATGGTTTAGCCGGAAACACCCATATAGCAAGAGTTCGAAGCGTTTGCCAGCATTGTTTTTTCAGCATTTTTCTGTCATTTTTCAGGCGTTTCCATCATTCTGCCAGTTTCATGATTTTGAAATCATTTTTCCATCGCCCCCAGCGTGATCAGAGACGCAACAATATTGCAAAAGTACAGAAGCTGGGAACCCCAGACGGACTCACACTCATTGCACACCCGCGAAGACTTTTGCTGGACAAGCGCTTCTTGCCAAGATTTGCAGTTTCTTAAGCATGCGTTCACGTCCTGCGCGATGTTCGGACAGAGGCAACTGCAACAACCCAGCGAACAAAATGGCATCAATGCTATATGTGTAGCGAGATGTAGCGAGGTTTGAACTTGCAGCCCAGGGCGCACCAGGAGAACCACTTTGCGAAGCACACTCCCGCTGCAGCACGTACGCACCTTTTTTTGGAGTTTCCCCGAACATAATTTGTGATTCTGGTGATTTATCATCCTAGTGACCAGCTGAACTTGTGATTTCTAGCAGGGTCCAGGGAACTGAAAGCTTTCCGAGACATGACATTAAATTACTTGCGCAACTTGCGCTGGGGTTGCTGGTGTGATTGCTTCGCCAACCTCTGCGAGCCGAGCCACGCTACCACTGGTCATAAAATAATATGTTGAGAGGGCCTTGTCATGTACTCTTCTGAGATCCTGCGAGGCGTTCGAGCTTCGAACCCTTGGCGGCTCGGAGGAGCTGGAGAAGCCAGGCGCCAACCTGAGCAAACAAAAAAGTCAGCAAAGTGAAGCAGTGAAGGCTGGAACGGATCCCGCTGACTGATGCGACTCCAGGACAGAACATCGTCGTTGGTGGTGAGAACCGCTGGAAGTATTCCAGCTTTGTCAATTGGGAGTTCTTCCCGAAGGCAGGGCAATTGTTGCGCTTTACTGAGACGTGGAAAGCAGCTGCCGCACTCCAAGGGGCTGGTGGAGAAAGGCTTGCCGCCAATATTGGTTTACTTCAAGGAGAGGCCTTGACGCATGAGTCTTAAGAGGAACTGAAGCCTGACTCCTGCCTGGCCAAAGCCTACTTTGCAGCATTTTGCAGCATATGCGCGCCCCAAAGAAGGTTTTGATTATTTGTTTTGTTGTGGCAATTGTCAGCATTCAAGCATTCTTTTGGATTTGTACCTTCTCCACCACTCCAAGCAGATTTCGGTTTGCCTGACATCATGCCACCTGGCCTTATCCCAGGCCCAACACTTAAAAGATCTAGAAACAGACGAAGCGAGGCAAGTCACATTGCGTGCTCGTTTCTATGCGAGTTTCTATTCCGGCTGCTACCGAAATTAGCTTCAAGTCATCTTTCAATGTGCAGGAGACTCAGACACCGCAAAAGGAATGGAGCACAGGCTGTCGTGCGCTTTTGTGTCCTGATAGGAATAATAGTAGTAATTGTGATAATAGCAATAATGCTAATAATAGTAATACTAGCAATACTAGGAAGAATAGTAATAATAGTGGTAATAATAGTCCCCTGTAAACTGTTTTTGCTCAAGCCCGTGGTTTGGTGACTGCCAGGCCCTGGAGCAGCTGCAAACTCTGAGGAGGTTCTTCCCCACAGTTGGCAGAAGAATTCCAAAGAAGCCTGGTGCTGAGGCTCTAGAGAAAGGAGCTGTCCCTGGTATGGTGCACTTCTTTCCCTGTATTTGTGATGCTCAGCCCGGGACTTAGAGGAAACCCCGTTGCAGCATGTGTGCCCTATCATCTGAGTTGTTCGAGGCAGATCAAAGCTGAGTTCCAGCGAAGAGGCTGCAAGAAGCTGTAGAAATCTGTAGCAGGCTAAGCCAGTAGCCACTTTACATTGATGCGTCTCAGCAGCTCGTGGCTCAACAGGGGTCACTAGAAGGCTAGATGCTCACATCTGGCCTGCCAGGGCAATAGCAATGCAGGAGTCAGAGACTCACAGAAACTTTTCGCTAGCACGCGTGTGAAACTTCCAGCAAGGGCTTGAGATGAGATGTGGTTGCTGAAGCTGAGAAGAAACCAAAGCAGGGGTGCTCGAGATCTAAGCTGATCTGGACTGCCTAGATGTAGCCCAGCCTGACAAACAGAATTGCGACAGACAGGGTTTGGTTGTGCAGCCTTTCTCGTTGGAACATGTGCTCCGAGCTCAATATCCGGCATCGTTGCTGGCAATGTAGTGTCAACGTGTTAAACAGTGTTTATCTCTTTCCCAGTCGTGCCACTATGGTCTATAGCGGGGTTGGATTCGAGTTTGTATCGGACTACTTGGCTGCAATTGCCGCTGCAGGACGCACTTGATTGCAACTATGGCTTCTTCACGCACCTCTACTATTCTTGGCCCATTTGGCCAGTTGCCTACTCAACAAGTTGACATTCCCTGAGTTCAGACCCGTTTTAGAGCCCCAGTTTCAAAAGACGTTGCCAAGAACTTCTGCCACGCTTTGCTTGTGGCAGGCCATCTGGCTAGTAGGTCGGACAGAATAGACAACCAAACGCATCGCGCGACATCAGCATGCAAGATTTGTATCGGTTATGGATAGATTCCAGGAGGTCAGAGACTGAAAATCGTATGCATCTTGAAGAAAAGGCTACGCACATCTTGTCGGACACGCATCAGGGACAGGTGCAAATCATTACGATATGCTTCATGTTCTCTGGAGCAGCATCCTGTAGCACGGTGCCAATTATGCCGTTGGACGCTGACATGGATGGCTTCCTTGTGGATGATGAGGCCCATCCAGACTCCAGCCTTGAGTTTGAGCTTGAAATCCGTTCATCTGTGCACTTGGCACGCTTTGCCAGTCTGATCTAGATTCTGCAGGCGGAGCGCTGCGCTCACGTAGCTGCCATGAACGCCCACACCCATGTGCCTGATGCATTTGCCTTCAAAGTTAGAAGTACAGGTGGAGAAGGAGCACTCTGCGACACGCCAGCCTTTGCCTTCCGAGCCACGGCTGAGGTGTCTGCTGAATATCCTTGAATACTCGTCATTCACATCGTCTGAAATCGATTGTAGTTGGGGAAAATTTGGGGACTTCTGGCTGACTGTTGGCGCTCAAGGCTCAAATCTGCAACAATCCGCATGCAATCATGAAAACACCACTCTCGCTGAAAAGAATGCAAACCCTTCGGCGATTTCTTAAGGACCTCACATTGCCAGAGATCCCCAACCTCCCTCCTGTGCGGACTGCCGAGACTCTTGGCTTCTCCAGAAACTTTGATGGTTGGTGCTAACCGCGGGAGCCTTGTTTGGAGCAGTTCGTCAGAGGCTGGAGCTGCCACCATTGCGCTCAAACTCGGAGCCTACCCTGCGACTGTGTCTTGGGCCACAAGCCACATTAGCTTGAGTTCTAAGATTAGGGCAGTTCTGGCGTTGGAGTTGAGACATGCAGTATTCGGTCTTGCAGCTTAGTGTGCTTTGGGCTATCTCAATCGCGGTAAATGAGCTCATGTCAGTGTGAAACACGTGAATGTGGCTGCACTTGGTGTGTGTCGATAATAATTACCTCTCAAGATGTTCTTCTCAGGATGAAGGTAGAGATAGCTGCCCTTGTATGGATCCTACGCCTGTTTGACAAAGTCGGTCACAATACCGGACAGCTGGCGCAGTCGTATCACTGCGAAGTGAGCTGTGAGTGTATTCTGGGTGATAGTGCGAGTTTGATTCAACTGCTGTGTGGGATAATTCGGACATTGACAGTGGCAGTGGTGGGATTGGCTTGCGCGCTGTTATCCCCAGGGCCAAGACTTGCTCATGAGGCGGCTTCTCCAAGGAGAAAGGGCGGAGGATTTATCCAAGTGCCTGCCAGGTCAACGTGTGGCTGCGTACTTCAGTGATGAAGGGATGTACCACGAGCGATTACTGCTTTGGAAGAGCGAGTCCATGAAGTGGGTTATCTTGACGCCAGATGATGATGTGTACGTAGAAGATTTCTCTGGTTATGGTGACCCTGGATGCGATTCGTTTAAGGTGAAAGGAGTTCACTTCACTTACTGGAGCAGAGTTGGTGCTGCAGCCTACAGGTTCAGTCGAGAGATCTCCGACGATGTCCTGAGACAGAAGATTGGCGAAGCGCTGGAACTTCTTGGAGACGAAGTTCATGGAGCTGACTCCTGGAGGCCCAGGGGCATCCAGCTGAGGGATGGAAGTGTGGCTGATGCATCGGCTTTTCTTGGGCGACTCTTGGTCCCTCGCCGTCTCAGAGGAAAGGGGCCCGAGGGACGAGTCGTCGACGAGGGTGGTGCGGCCGCTACCGTCCCTCCGGGTGTCAGGATGATCGAGCCGGCTCCTGAAGGCTTGGTATGGGTGGCTTCCGAGCCGCTTGGAGGGCTGTTGCTGGGGCAGGAGGTCAGCATTACTCCTTCTACTGACGTGCAGCTTGGCGAGCGCACAGCTATGCTTCGAAGAGGTGAGCGCTGGGTGAAGGCTGAGCTTGTTAAGTTGGAGGATTGTGCGGACTTCGCTGCACGCCGGCGAAGCCTGTAGCTTGCTACTCCCAAGGTTCTGGCTGTTAAGGCGACTGAGCCAAACCAGGATGAGATCCGGACACTGTCGGTCGATTACGACGAGCATGGGGAGAGATTCAAGCGCTCGCCCCTGTGATGGACAACAAGCCGATAGAGGGACCGTTGACTGCCCTTCACTTCATTAAGCGTGCTGAAAGACATGGGGGGGATGTGCGGCAGTGGTTGCAGCTATGGTGCAGGAGCAAGCATATCGAAACCACGGGCAGAGTCTATCACGAACTCAAGGTGTTGACGGACTCAATCCACTATGCAGGTTGCCACGACCAACTGAACATACCTGCGCTCGTTTCGATGGAGCTGCTCTGCAGAAGGGTGCAATCAATCGTAGAGGCCTACACGAATCCCGCCAGGCCGTCTTGGGAGCATGCTAAGGTTTTCCAGGGTCAAGCGTCACCTGAGGACATTGTCAGCCCAGTTTTCAGAACGTATGCAGTGAAGAAGAACAAGGAAGAATTGGAGCTTCTGCAGGCCAGACAGAAGGTTCAAGAACTTCGTGGGTCACCCCTTTCGGTCGTCGAGGATGGCGCTGGGGAGACAGCGGAGGGTGCAGCGCAGAGGCCCCCGAAAGGTCCAAAGAAGGGCCGTGGCAGGGGGCAGGATGCCAACTAAGGAAATTGAGCGCGGGTGGTCGCCCTTCACTGCTCGCGCCTGTCATGGAAGAAGGGCGCCTTAAGGGAGCACATCAGCCAGGGGCGCCTGCTAAGGTCAGCGCTAAGGAAAGGCAGTTGTTCCCGCTCCCGAAGTTTGCATGCCCGCCTCGTCTGCTTGGTGTTAGCCGTACAGCGCAGCAAAGGCGATCTCGAATTAGAAAACATGTGTACAACTGCGACGAAGTCCGACGAAGTGGTTGACGCCCTTAATTGGATGGCGGGGACTTGTCAAGGTGACCTTCTTGCCTCCCTAGTCCGATGCAAGCTCAAGCTATGACGCGTGTGGATGGTCTGGTCCGAGATCAGAAGCACAGTGGCATTGTGGCGACGCCGGAGGAAGCACTTCGTTCGCTTCTCCGTGGAGGCGCCCCATATGACTGGAGGCCCTCGAATGAGACTCTTGCCTCTTACCAAGCCGACCTCGTCTCCCTTCCGGATAATGTTGGCAGGTGTCCATTGCTCCGCGATGTGCTCCCGCCTGACGACTGTCGGTACCTGGAAGAGCAATCAGAGCTGATGCTTGCTGATGATGCAGGTGCAGCAGAGGGTATTGAGCCTTATTGGGATCCAGCTTTGAGGTTCAATAAGAAGAATTACAACAACCTGGTCCTCCGTCTGCGCAAGATTGGTTATTTTCAGTACACCACTCAGCCGAAATGCAAGGTAGGTATCATCTTTGTGTGGAAGTCGTCTCGTACCCGTCTCAGGATGATCACCGATGCCCGCATGTCCAATCATCGTTTGGCATCTCATTGATGACAGCTGAATCGTTTGGTCGCTTTGAGGTTGAGTTCGATGGCGAGGTGTTTGCCAGCCCAGAGGCGATCTCCAAGTTGACGGCCTTCATTGGTTTGAGTGATGTTAAGGATTGTTTCCATAGACTGCGTGTGCCCATGTGGATCGCCCGGTTCTTTGCTTGGGAGGCGGTGCCAGCCAAGACCGTAGGATTGGAGAACACGTATGCCGATGGGAAGTTTGTCGGGCCCCTGGACCCCGTATTTCCATGTGCTGGCTCACTATGTCAAGGTTTCTCCTGGAGTCTTTACTTTGCTCAAAAGGCGAATGAATACCTCTCCAAGACCACCCCACTGCTTGCTCAGGCTCGGCTACTTCATGATCGTGGTGATCCTCTGGTCCTGCATGTTGGCCGCCTCGAGGATGAGGCGGACCACTTCTACATGTATGTTGATAACCTTGGGGTGGTTGGCACCAATCATGAACGCGTTGTTGAGGCGATGGATGCTCTCCAACAAACTTTCGATGGTCTGGGCCTCGAGCTTCATGGCAGCGAGGTTAGTTGCGGGAGTGTTGAAGCATTGGGTTGCATCATCGAGGGCAACAAGCTGCGCAGTCGTATCGCTGTTGGTCGATTGTGGAAGGTACACCAAGCTGTCGAAGGATTACTCAGGCGCCGAAGATGTTCAGGTCGGGCGCTTGAAGTGATTGTGGGTCACCTCACTTTCTGTGGACTTATGTGTCGGACTTCTTTGAGCATCTTACACAGTGTATATCCGTACATCCAAAAACATAAGCAATCTGTCGGAGTACTTTGGTGGAGGCCGTGGAATCGCATGGTGCTTGCTAGTGACTCTAGTTTACATGGTTACGGAGTTTGCCAATCTTGGTGGCCACGATCGAAGGTGGCCTTGTGTGGGAGGCAAACCGAGAGATCGCGGTTCAGGCGGGTGGCCTCACATTCTGCCAGGGAAAGTGTATTGTTGTCTGCTGGGCTGGTTTTGGACGCTCATGGTAGGTGGACTGCGCCTCATGATGAAGAGTGTCGGGAAGCTTTGGCTCAGGCTGGATGGGGTACTGACTCAAGCTTCAAAGAAGTGCCTGCAGCGGGGCTGAAGCGAAGGTTGTGGCAGCCTACGATGCACGGCAACTGGGAGTTCAGTGAAGACATCCTGGTACTCGAGGTGCGAGCGGTCATGAAGGGCATTAAGAGGGCTTTGTTGACTCGTTTTGGCCACGATATCCGGCAACTTGCTCTCTGCGACAACCTTGCTGCTGTGCTCACATTTGAACGCTGCCGTTCTCGAAACTACAAGGTTTTGAAAGTGCTGCGTCAATTTGGGGCATATTGTTTCGCACGGAATGTTCGGGTTTCTCTGCGTTGGATACCTTCAGAGCTCAACATTGCTGATGAAGGGTCACGGATTGCTGAAGGGGCCAAGGATTCAAAGCTTTTGATAGACCTCCTTGGCGATTCATGGGCAGATGACTTCGTCGCTGATGTGGTTTCGCCCTCGCTTCCTTTGAACAACCTCGGTGAGTGCTGGGTCAATGAGTCCCAAACGGACACGCACATTGTCAGCAACGGGATTGGATCGCAGTCAGCCAGTGGTGAGGCCGGGGCCGAGCCGAAAAAGGACCCTTGCTGGACACAAGGACGAGGATCAAAGTGTGCCAATCAAGAGTGGCCGGAAGTCACGTCTCCTCCGGGCGGATGGCCTCGCATCAAGGATGGCAGAAAGGTCCGTCGAAACGATGAGGCTCCCAGAAACCGAAGTGCAACTCCATCAGATACCAGTCACCAAGTTGGCAAAACCAGACGGATACGACGAGAGCGAGAGCACCTCGTCCGAGTTCAGGGCCGGCAAAGAAGGAGAGAAAGAGCGCTCGTTGAAAAGCAGACCAAAGCGAGGGTTGCAGCAGTATTCCACCTTGGCCAAGGGCACAGGAGCCACAGTTTGTTGGAGGAAGCGGCGGTGTCAGCAAAGGTGAGGCAGTCTTACTCAAACCGGCTCCGAGACCTTCAAGCCTTTGTCAGGGAAGCTCGCATGGCCTTCGAGACAGACGAGCAGATAGACGAGGCTCTAGTGGAGTTCTTCAACGCGAAGTTCAAGGAAGGGGAAGGAAGTTCGGTTGGGGATTACACGTTGGCAGCGCTGATGGACAAAATCCCTCAGTTCGGACGACTGGGCAATCGCAAGGTGCCCCGTGCTTGGCGATGCCTCCAGGGATGGCGGAAGTTGTGCCCATCTCGCTCGAGGCTTGCCTACCCCCTGGCTGTGTGGTGCGGGATAAGTTGGCGCATGGTAGCTCGTGGGTCTCGACTTACCACCGGCCTGGGACGCTGCTGAAACTGAGAAAGCTTGGCCTGGTGAAGCCAACCAGGGGAGTAACAAATCACTGGTCGGTAGTCACGAGTCTTGCCGAAACATCGGACATCTCGAAGACGGGCACCAAGGACGATTCGGTCTTGGTAGACAGCCAGTGGATGGCCTTTGCGAACCCGCTCTTGGAGGAGTTGGCCCGTGGGGACAAAATGGAGTTCGTGTTCAAGTTCGACTACACGAGCTACTTGAAGGTCTTCCGGGAGGCGTGCCAGGATCTGAGGTTGCAACTGGTGCCGTATCAGGCCAGGCATTCCGGTCCATCCATCGACCGGGCCAAGAATGTCCGGACTCAAGAGGAGGTCAGGAAGAGAGGAAACTGGCAGAGCCGGCAAAGCGTTGCCCGCTACGAAAAGGCAGGGAGGCTGGCAGCGACCTGGCAGAAGTTGGATGTGGAAGTTCAAATGGCCTGCCAAGCAGTTATGCTAGGCCAAGCCTATCCGGTGATCCCTCTCCCTGGCCGATAAAGAAGGGAGCATACTTTGCTGATCTCTTTGCCGGCTCCGGTCGCATAGGTCGTGCTGCAAACGCTCTTGGGTTTCAGACCAGGTCTTGGGAGCTCAACTATGGAAGGAGCCAGGATCTTACTGATCTCCGAGTTCTTTCAAAGATCAAGTTCGACATCAGGAAACGCCTTGTGCTGGGAGGCATGCTTGCTCCACCTTGCTTGACTTTTAGTGTCGCTCGGGACAGAGCCGGAGTGATACGTACCAGAGACTTTCCTTGGGGTTTGCTTGGACTCAGTGACCGGGATCAAGAAAAAGTGAGCAATGGTAACAATTGCATGCGCTCCGCTTTCGCAATTATTAACGAGTTAGACAGTCAGTGCCTGCCTTGGATTTTCGAGCATCCGCATTCTAGCAAGGCGTGGTTTCTCCCGGAACTTCAACGGCTACAAGGTTTGTCGCATGTCCAGATCGTAGTTACTGACTTTTGCCAGTGGGGCACCAAGTGGCGCAAACGCACCCGCTTCTTGCTAGGCAACATCGCTGAAGACGATGCTGAAGGGTGCTCTCGAATGTGCCAAGGGAGACATGGTTTCTGTTCTCGCACTCAGACACATCTTGCTGACAGGCAAGGATGCATGCGGACAAAACTTCACACAACTTGCCCAACCATATCCGCATCGACTATGTCATCGGCTTGTGCGTGCTGCGCTTTCAAAATACATGGTGGTGCCATTTTTGTCATCTTCCCACCCACCCAGGCCCTAGTCAACTACGACTCGGGGGTCTTCAATTTGGGATGGTGGCCGACACGTTCAGCATTGGCCCAGCATCTTGAAGTGAGATGGGCTGAGCAGTGCTGCACCATGTTTTCGGCTAGCTTGCTGAGACGCGCAGAGAGTTTTCTGAGAATCATGCCGCTCCAAAAGTGTGAGAGCTCACAGAGTTGTGTTTTGGGTCTCCAGGTACAGGGTTCATGTTTATTGGTCGGCGTGGTCCTACATGTTTGTACAGTATTGTTAGCAAGCTGAAGCCAAAACTTGACACCCAAAAGCAAAATGCAGCCCGGTAAGGAACCCAGCTTTCCTCGAAGATGACGTGCCCGCTGAAGGTGCCGAAGGGGAGGCAAGGTGATTGGGCAAGCTTCCAACTTCTCAGCTTTGATTGCATCTATGGATCCGAGGAGCTTGGCGGCTCGGAGATCAACTCGGGGCGTGAAGAACCTGCAGAGCCACCCACAGCCACGGCATTGGAGATCATCCAGGCCCAAGTTGATAGCTGCGCCTAAGTTATCTGAGCCAGACCCGAACGCTGAGCTCTAAACATAGGGTCTGGATCTGACATTATTCCAAGAATGGAAAATCGGAAACAAAAGAAAATGGAAAATACCGATGAACACTGATTGTTTTTTATAGGGTTGTATGTACAAGAAAATTATCAATGAGCGCTGATTGTTTATCTACTTAGGGCTGTACAGGAATTATTTCGAATTGCTAAGAGTGCCACACAAAGACTGAGGCTGCAGAGCCCGAGGCACAGCCATTGGAGCTGGACAAGGCCCTGCAAAGCTTCCGGGCAGGGCTTTCTTTTGGATCTTACACTGGAGCACGTGCGGTGGCAGCCTTCTTGTGGGCTTCGGACGTAGCACTTTCAGACTTGCCCCTTAAGCAGAGAGTCAGCGGGTTGGAGGCGCAGGTACACTGAGACATCCTTGATTGTTAGACATCACGTGCAACCTGGCGAATTCCAAAGCCTCCGGATGCAGCCCAGGCGCTCAGCGCCCTCGACAGCTGCTGGGCAGCCTTGCATTCAGGGAGGGTATGTTCATGTTCGTGGATGCGGTTCTGGGTTCTGAAGACCTAATCATCCAGCACGGTCGGGTCCGTGCAGGCAATACCTATCAAACTAAAGACTGCAAGAAATTTGCCTGTGCTCATTTGCCGCGTATTGACTCAAGTTCGGTCAGGCCTCTTGCAGCCAGTGCACTGAACTTGCCACCCTACTCGCGGAAGCTTCCGCAACTGTGGCTGTGAGCAAATTCAGAAACCCTTGCATACGGAAATTCGGGCCAGGCAGTTTACTTGTCAGGCATTTCATCCCTGTCAGCGGCCCAAATCACATCGCATGTCCGCCCACGTGTGCCGGATCGTCTTGTACGTCGTCTGCTGTAGGGCGTGACCTAGTCTTGTCTTTGCGAGCTGCAACCTTCTATCGTGAGCATCAGCTCCGCTGTTGCCAATGTACCGCTTCGTGAGACAGAAGAAGCCCGCGAGGCCTTTTTGAGTTGCCTGGAAAAGGGCAGCTGACCTACCGTCCTGGCCCACACAGCCTCCAAGCTCTACATAAAGAACACAAGGCCGGGACATCGGCGTTTTGACGGTACTGCTGGTGATTCACGCGATTGAGCAGCCGGAAACCCAGCAGCTATCCACGGCTTGACTCAGTGGTGCCGCTGAATCCAGTGCACTTTTTTTTACGGAAGCGGTTCTGCCCAGCATGGTCTTTGGGCGTGCTTGCGGAGTTTAAAATGTTGCTAAGACGACATTGTGGTCGACGACTTCAGTTGAACCCAAGGGTGCCCAAGGTACATAGGGATCTGCTCGCTGCGGTATGCCCGCTGCGCGCCTCTAAAGGACAAGGAGGTCCCACTCATGCCTGCACCCCATATGGCGACCCTCGCTTGATCGATCTTGGGAAAACAATAAGATAAGAGTAAACATCCGATAGCGAAGTAGTTTATGTTACTTGATGGGAGAGCCGTAAGAGAGTAAAACAACTTGATAACGTGTCAAGCTGGATAGAAGGCTGGCATCTAGGTTTTTGGCGCCGCTCACTCGCAGGCTACCCTGATCAGAGAGTTGTCGTGCTTGGCATGTAGTCCTTCCCTGTGACAAGGAGGTCAACGACTCACCCTCGTACCCGCCTTGGAAAGAGCGCTGCGCTGCGCAGATTTGGAATTTATGCAGGGTCGCTAGGAACCCTGACTCCGAGTATTAACACCGCTACAGTACCCTAGAAATTTACAGCCAACGCAGAACTGCAGCAGACGTAACATGCGTGACAACCACCGCCCTGCTCACTTTCTCCAAGCAGCATATTTGCCCCCAAGTGGTGGACCGCAAACTCAAAAGGGCATATTGGTCACATCCTCACGGTCCTGAAGAGAGGGGGTGTAGCAGTTGCTGCCAATTTCACACCATGCTCTTTTGGTCGAAGTCGCTCGCCCCGCATCCTCAGTGACATGCACTCAGTACCCTTTGACATGAAGAGTTGCACAGTGCCCACTGTCCGGGGTTCAGCCTAAGACAGCGGCAAGTGCAGAACCAGATATGGAAGCCATAAGATTTCTGACTCTGTGTCTTCTCAGGGCAGGTGATGAACAGGAATGTCGTGTTTGACGCAATTTTGAGCATGTTGTCAGCACCTCGGGACTTGAACGAAAGCGAGGGCCTGCTCATGCCCGGCCGTGATGAGATCCTGCAGTTTGGAGTCGTGCATGTCCCCACTCCGTCAGGCAGGTTACGCAACAGAGCCTTGAAAAATCTCGGTCGTCATCTTGGGCACTTAGAGATCTGTATTTTAGGTATATCCCTACGTGGCAGGAACTGCTCCACCACTTTACAACATCTGAAACAGTGAGTGACCAAGAAATGCACGGGAAGTCGGAGCATAGGATGGAGTGTAACAATCTGGCCTCATACGCTTCCTTCAATCAATCAATCAATCAATCAATCAATCAATCAATCAATCATGGGATGGGCAAAGCAACGTTTTGAACGCCACGCGATGTCGCCGAAATGTGGGCGTTCAGGATATGGATCCAGTCGGCGAGTCTTCTCCTTGACCTGGTACCCTCAAAGATCCCAAGGCTATGTGAAGGGCCGAAACTCCGAGCAGCACGCTGGCGCCAAGCTGCAAGGCGACGTGGAGGCAGCCTTTTGTCAGAGGTCTCTTGGACTCCTGGAGCTTGAGGTCAGGCTTTTGAACTGTGTCGGTGGCTTTGGAGCTTGCGACTCATTGCAGGCTATTTCAGCCAATGTCTTCAGACGTTCTGTTTCCAGGACTGTGACTTGTCAGGCGAGTAGATCCCAGGTACAAGGAGAGGCCTCACTGTCGCCTCCCTGATCCCCAAAAGACCAGTGAGCTGCCTCTTGCGCAAAGTGCGGAACCCTAAGTCGCAAAAGCCTCTTCAAGCCAGGTCAAACTACAACAACCTCACCCGGCCTCACCCCAAATGGTGGTTCATACCGACAAGAGGTTCAAGATTTGTTGAGTAAGCCACACGCAGGCAGCTTTACGTGTTGGCTGGTGGACTGTGCTCCTGTCTCTGCCGATCATCATTTGGCCAGCGGAGCTTCTGATTAACTTTGGATATGAAGGTTGCGCTTAGGAAGCAGCGGGTGTCGGCTGCAGATTCGTGTAGGCAGGTTGGCATCAACTACGTAAAGAGGTCGCGGTACTAGCGAAGCCACCTCGGCTGCAGCTACTTTCCTTCACCCCTGATGCAGTTGTTCTCTTACACTCGCTCTGCCATACTGGCACAAACCTCCCTCCTCCTGTGCCATTTATCCGCTTTCCATCTCGCTCGAGGTCTGCTTTCTCCAGCCAGTCTTTGTCCTCTTGCTGAGTCGGCTTTCATCTTGGCGTTCTGTCCTGAAACCAGAAACCACTAAACCTGAGCCAAGAAGCGTACGAGTTGTTATTCATGTTATTCTTGGGAGGCAGTTGGCAAGAAACAGAAGACCATGAGCTTGTCATCATTGATCATTACTGCTTGTTGTTTGATATTGTTCTTCTTACAGGACTTAGGGAGGGAGTCCCGGGAGGCTGGTTGAAACCGGTGATGCAGGGCGTTCATCGGACTCGGATTAAGCTTCCCATTGGGAGAGATCGGGAACTTGGGATAAAAACCCGCGGATCTTTCTGAAAGCAGAGCACAAAACCCTAAAACTAACCATTTAACCATATTGAACCCTAAACCCGGAAATTGAAAGAGTTGCAGTTCTGGAGCCGAGGCACTTGAGTTGCAGGAGATTGGCAGCATCAAGCGCGTATTTTTGGAGTCTTGGTGACAATAGCATCCAGAGGTTAGCGTGAACCGTAGGATTTGGGTTAGGCACCCACCCACTAATAGTGGTACATTAGTAATATATGGGGACCACAACACAACTGCTTTTTTCCCTCTTGGTCAGTAATAGTGCGGGGGGGGGGTGGGGGGGCAACCTACGTCACGCCCTGACTTTGGGCCAGCCAGATGCCAGGCTTCAATGTGACATTCATGGCGGTAGCCGATGTGATTTCACCCTCGTAGCCTTTGCTTGGTCCAAAACCCTTCTCAACCCACAGTGCATCCAACCACAACCATCAAGGACTTTTGGGGCTCGATGCTGCTGCAGTTTCCTGCTTGTTTGGAACTTCCTGTTTTTCTTTGTTAAGGGTCAAGCTTGCATGACTTCAATCATGGTCTGGGTAAGCTACATTTATCACAACTAGAATGTTGAGCTTTGAGGAGATGAGAGCCCAGGTTTCTGTTCTGCGTGGGGCCGACCCTGGGAGTATCCGTGAGGCGCACTTCCCTGTGCAAATTACATCAACCTGCTTGCACCCAAGTTCAGGCTTGCATTGCAGCCAGCATGATGGCCAGCTTTCGTAGCTGCTTGTAGCTGCTACAATGCCCAGCAGCGGAGGTATACACTGGAAGGATGGCTAGGAACTGCCCTAGCAACAGTGCCTTGGCTTTGCAGAGATTCCAGGGCAAGGCAGATGTTGAGGCGTCGGGCATCGTTTGTAAAAAATCAAACATAGTGCCAAGGTGAACATGCTGCTGCTCAACAATGTTGGCGGCTGGCTAACAGGCGTGTGCTCTGGACTGAGGAGTGAGATTGTACAAGAAAACTTGCTCTGACATACTGTACATCAATCTGAAGGCTTCGAAGCCCTGCTCTGCCTATCCGGCTTACGAGCAGCAAGATCTGGGTGTTGAGTACGCAAGGAGACGAGAGACCTTGTACGCCTCCTTCACTGGCACTTGGCTGTTAGGTTCAGACTAACTAGACCTTCCTAATTTGGACTGCTTGAACCCTTGCCTCGTGCATCCTCGCACCAATCACTTGGGTCTTCCGTCGTAGCCACGCAAGCAGAAATGGAGGCGGTGCCTACACGAGCCGCATCGAGTTCATCGACAATGCCACAAATGCTACAGTGGTGACCTCCAGGTCGGTTTTAAATCGTTGGGAGCCGATTCGCTGACTTTGGTCATCAGGTTGCTGTGGCCAAGTGCGTGAGGCCAATTCTTGGTCAAGTTGTTGCGCTATTGGGGTAGCGCTTCAAGAGCTCTAGGCTTGGAGGCATCAGATTGTAATTTCACAATATCAGGCGGTGCAAGGAGTCTGGACTGCTCGTGGCTTCAGCCGCCCCAAGAATCCGGAACGAGCCAACCGCACAGGCATTTACGCACTATCCCTGTTCGTAGCCTGGAAATCATGCACAGAATTGAAGGAAGACTCGTCTCCATAAGCCTCGGCTCTCCATCGCACAGCTACAACTACAATGTCTGAGCAATGCTCCCACCAGCAGGACATTACACTACAGTGTTTACCCTCTCGATCTGAATTGGAAACTGCGCTGTGGTCATGAGATATGGGAGTTTCGGTGTCAGGTGGATGCCTCTCTGTAACACCGCAGCAGACCTCAGCTTTCACGGCTGCGTTTTCAATATGCGTGCTGACCTTGCGGAAGAGGCAGGGCCAGGGGTTTGAGGTACAAGAGGCTGTAAAACTACTCGGGTGGGTTCTGGCTAAGACCTCTTGCTGAGCCATAGACACTTGATGACACTTGTGCCTTTGATATTTGTGATTCTGGCCTAGACTCCCAGAGAGGCACAGTTTCTCAAAGCTGCAGTGGTCTTGGCGGACACCGTGGCAGCTGGGTCTGAAAGCTTCTTCTCATCCTACTCCGACTGTAGAAGCCGTAGAGAGCTCAGCCGAGCTCAGCCCAGCGCAGCCCAAGCCTTAGCCCAGCGCAGCCCAGGTATTCATGGCAGCCATGCTCTTCTTTGGCTTCAGTACAAACATGCGGCTCTTCAGCATCTCCACGCCCCTCGGTCCTGGAGGTCAACTGCTTTGGCGTTGACAGACATTGTTGGAATGGCAACTAAACATCCTTGCGGCAGTAAAGATGGACGCTCTGATTCCATAGCAAGCAGCTCAGGCACATTTACCTAGCAATAAGTTTCCTGGACCCCAGCACTGGAGCTTTCGACCTCCAGCCATCCCTTGCCACCTGACTGCAAGTTTAAGGGCATGGGACTCTGAGAGTCTGGATGTGGGGTTGGCCAATAAGGCTGCACGTCAGGATTTCGGGGCAGAGGGCGTCTTTTGGCGCCTAGGTCTGCTGGCCAGGTAGTCCAGGTACAGCATGCAGAAGGGATGATTTGCAATTTCGCAACCGGTTGACGGCAAACGGATGCAAATGGTACCGGTAGACGCAATAGACGAGTAGACTGCCCAGATGCCACACTGGACGTTTCGCCCCACACCGGGCAAGCACACCTGCAAATTTTCAAACATTTGCATACCTGGCTCAACATACGCCAGTCCGTCAACTACTTTGTCATCGTCTCCATTGCTTCCGTTGGCGTCTTCCTCTGCTTCCTTCTGCCTCGGCCGCTTACTTCCACTGCGCAGGCAGGTCCCAAGCAGTGTGGAATCATTTTGGCAGCTCTTTACTGGCACCCTGATGGTTGACTGGGTTTTGGGACCCAAGAGGCCAGGTGCAGGTGAACTCAAACGGTTTCAACCCCTCCAAACAAAGTGGCAGTGATGAACTTGCTTATAATCAGGATGTTGGTAAAGGAGTTTCAGGGCCCGCTGCCGTCACCGTGCTTGGGCAGTTCGTTATGTCGCATTGTGGTTCGAACTGCATGCGCGATCTGTTTTTGCTCCACAAAGCTTCCACAGCACTCGTCATCTACTTGACTTGCGGAGGCCAGTCGCATTTTGCAGGAGACGGGGTCCGCGGTGGCAATGCCCCTTGGCTAGAATTCAAATGGATTAAATGCCTCCAGATAGCCAAGCCACGTGTGTTATTTTGTTTTTAGTGCCCATTGCGTCATCAGCGAGTGCATCCTGAGGCCAGTTGAGATCCAAGCCACAAGTTGTGCTCGCAGGATTCTGGAGTCCCTTCCGCTGACGTCGTCAGAGCTTTGCCGCAGCAAAGCTCAAGCGGCGCTCAATGAGATGAATGTCGTCATGAAGGCCCTACTTTTCAACAGTTTAGCCAGGTTGTAGCCTATCTTCCCCTATACTGTTATAGATAGTGCCAGTGTTTCATAGTGGATCGACCTATTCACGGCTTTACAGAAGTTGAGGAGTCGAACAGACTCGCGAAGCTTGCAAGGGCCCCTCATACCCGTATAGCAATGAAGGAACCCCGCCGGGTCATTCGTTCATGTTCGTATTCTTCAAACAGCTGACTGAGAGCAGGTCCTGATGCATCGCTTCACTTCACGAATAAGTTGGAAAACAAGACTTCACACCAACTTAAACCTCGCAAGCCAGGCACATGCTCCAGCCTAGAATCCCAAAACCTTAACTCTACTGCGCTTTCCGTTATGAACGGGGCTCATTCCTCGTTCGCCCTTCATCGGACTACCGATCCGCACAGACAATTTTCTGACTCAGGCTTTTAGCCTTTGAACCCTTTGAACGTCGTCTGACATGCTTTTGTGGGCAGCATGCTCCGTTAGCACAGGGCAAACTGGGCGAGAGAAGGCGATCGCTCTTTGCTAAACAAATCATTGCCTTGATTGTATCACGCTCGCATTAGTGTGCTTACCGGCTGGCCTAGCTGATGATGTCCACCCCGCACGCAATTGGACAATGTCAACAAGCCCAGGCAAAATGCACACCCACAGCCAAGGGTGAGTTCACTAACAACAGCATATCGCGATGTGAAGGCGAAGGAACGATGTGAGCATGATTTCATCAGAGCAGCAGCTTCTAGCACGCAAGCTGCAGAAGAATACCTGGTGCAACGTACAACTAGAGCTAGAGTCAGAATAGAAGACGTATTGGTCCCTCTCACAAAAAGCTGACCGGCATCGGTCCAAAAGGATCAATTCTCCTAATATTTGGTTCAATTCTTAGGGCCATTCTCTTGCAGCACGAATTTAGTGGTGATTCTTGTTTTTAGAAATTTTGTTCAGGCATGTCGCAGTTGCAAATACTATTTCGCAAAGGTGACTGGTGTAGAGCATGGTGTCCTCTGATGCTTGCCAGAATTTGGCCGCACGATTGCAAAGTCACCGGCTGTCATCAGTAGAAGCGAACTTGGCACAGGCATTGCTCCGTCTGCATTGGGTAGTGGTGCCCCGGGGCTTGTTTTCTCTTGCCGGACGAAACATTTTCCTCGAAAGATTTTTACGAAGCCCGGTTCCAGTTTGGCGACAAAGTTTACGACGAAGTTTTCTCGAAATTTTGTTAAGAGCAAAATTGCCTTGAAAAAAGTCCCCGCAAAATTCCTCCACAGACTTCACAGCCATTTGCTGGACGAAAGATTCGCAAGCGCAGGCCAGATACATCATATCATGTATGTTTTGCTTATGATACGGAGCTTGCTTGCGACGCTCGTTTCGTGCCAGCGGGTGTGCAGGCCGTAACCCTCACGGGCTTTTAAGGCTTATTCCCAATCACAAAACACCCTCAAGGGCCGCATTGTGAGCGTATTCGAACATTTCTCGTCTTCCTGGAGGGAGGCCGAACAGTAAAATTCCTCTTTGAAATACGCCCAACACTTACCAGCAAACTTCTGGGAGCCCTCAGGCGTAACAATTCAAGCAGCAGAGCGTGTACATGCATCAGTTCATCAGTCGTGTCGGGGAGAGCCACAGCTACTTGCATAAAGTAGATTAGTAGTTCAGTGTGCATCCTCATTTTTCTGTTGATCTTGGATATTCGTGAAACAATCGCTGAGAGCCCTTTTTCAGAAAAACCCACCCATTTTGGTGTAGGTTACAACTTTTTCAGAGCAGCCTAACCTGGGCTGGTTGTGCCGACTCATGCTGGAAGCACGCATCGTCTCCGCGAGTGAGTTGATTCTCTTCCCCACACACAGCCTGCCAGACACGGACAAACAAGAAAGAAAGATGGAACAACGAAACAAAGTTTGACCCAGTTGTACCTAATTATCCGCAAATTTTGCATCCAACCCAATGGAGCAGAGATCAAAATCCTCTAGTGGGGAACCCTTTAGCAAGTGGCGGTAAGGAGCTTGCCGTAAGCAAACGTGTGGGTTTCGTNNAATCGTTCCGCATGTTGCGCCGTAAGCCACCGTAAGGTCTTAGTTCGGGCTCTCCACGTTGCAACTGTAAGCGCCGTAAGCGTTTATCAAGAAAAGCGAGCGGCATAAGCTAAACCTTGGGTTTCGTAAGCCACCGTAAGCAAATTCCTCACCGTCAAAGAAATCGGATAAGGATTTTGACCCCCGCTCAATTATCGAGACGCCTCCTCTCAGGATCGGGCTTGAGCCGGCAGGATGCCGGACACTCTCCTTTGCATATTGCGGCATTGCAACTAGCACACGCCCTCCTTGACCATGCCCATACCCAGGTAAGTCTTTGCCCACATGCAGGGCTCTCGACCATTGGGAAGCTGCCCTGTTAATCTTGCGCGCTGTTCTCTCTGTGCCCAATACCCTGCCCGTCTATGCTCTCTATCCTTCTTGGAGTCCTCCCTGTTGCACCCCGATGCGAAATGTGAAACCTTTGTGAAGGTTCACGCCGTTCACTCGATCTCTCGCCCAGCCTGAATGTCGCGCCCTTCCAGCTTAGAAAGGAAATGTGAAACCAAGGTCCAGGAATAAATGTGGATGGTGCTGCATTTGTCAAATCCCAGACCAGGAGTCATGCCAAGGCAACCTTGGTTCATCAAATTGTAGAATCTCGACAACTGTTGGGTCACCCTTAGAGGGTGGAGTTGTGCGAATTGCCTAGAAATGTCCTGCTCTTACCTTGAGGCACCAATCATCGTGGCCGTTGAACATGTAGGTTTGTCATATGTGCAGGAGATAGCTGGAAACCCGTAGACGTCTTGTTTAGACAGGAAGTGCCTGGCCAGTCCGTCTCGTCACGGGTGAGCCGGTTGGAGTCTGCGTGCCCCTTTAGCTGGCTGCACCGCTCCACTTCAAGTCTCAAAGCCAAGCACTAGATACGATTGCATCATATTGCATCCTTGCAAGCCTGTGACTCTAAAACCACAAGCAACAAGTCGGATCCGCACCTACGTGTCCTGGGTCTCTCTGAGGGTTCCTGAAAAAGATTCTGATCTGATCGGAATTCTAGCTTCCAGCGTTGCGTCTGGAAGGATTTGGACTTCCACATGAAGCATATGTGGTTTGAGGAGCTCCGGGCAGGTTTACAGTTCTTATCAGGGTTTGATTAAAATTGTGGGGACCCGTTGAAATTCGATTTCGTTATTGGGCTACAAATGCTGGCATTCACTTGGAACCCTAACCTCTTCTCACCAATTGTCCCTGAGGACTTCGGCCTTTTGTGTGGCCATGCTGGGTACCGGCGCTTTTTGCAGGCTTTCGCCGAAATACTGAAATCATCAATGCAGCCCAGCTGCATTTCTGTGACAAGTTAGCAACCGCAAACATGAACCTTTGCCTAGAATGCTTGCCTGCCGGTTTTAGCAGGAGGAAGCAATGACCCCCGCAGTCCTATGGGCTGCCTGACACTACAAGTTCCGGACCTGTTGTCAGTTGGCAGCCATACTTCGTTATGACCTAAGATCGCGTCACGTTTTTCCTGCACTTTGCAGCTCATTGCATGCTGTCTCCAATTGTAGATCAGGCAGAACTTCGACGCTGTTTTTTGCGCAGCTGCTGCCGTGCCAACGAAGGACCATGGAGCAGCTGCTTGGGACAGGAGTTCAGGATGACGTTTTAATTTTAGTTCTTGGGCTCAGAGGTCGCGCATCAGGCATTGTAGGCTCAGGGCTTAGTGGACGAAACTTGGTCTTCATGTACTGTTGTGAACTCTTGGCTTGCTTGCCTTATTAATGTTGAGGTTCGTGCTGTGGCATGATCCATGCCTATCGGTGGCCCGCGTTGTTGGCTTCCAACGAGGGCGTTCAAATCATGTTGCATCCGCTTAGACCCCAAGACAAATGCACTGCATTCCGGCACGATGTGACAGTGCCAGACGCTAAGCAGGCTTAGCATCAGTGCAATGACACCAAGCTTCTAATAGACATTTTTGGGGGGCTAGTCTGCTCGAATAGGTTTTCTGTACACAGTGGATGCATCAATTGCAACTTGTGGTAACCTGTGCCCATGCAGGATTCTGAGCAAATCGTCCTGAACCTCCCATCCCTACGGCATGAATGCTGCCTCGTTGCAAGCACTCTGACAGCGCTCTTGGCGGTTGGGGACTTAGATGAACTTGCAGCTCACGCTAGAGAAGAGAAGCTGTGATTACTTATATAACACGTCAGATGTTCCTACTCGCCTGCATCCCGTGGCCTGCAACTTCATGTTTTGCTCTCCTTGAGCAAGATCTGGTAGGTCAAGACCCCGGACGAAGTGAAGCCGGTTGTCGACGTCCTTCTCGAGAAGCGGCAGGTCAGGCAGCAAGTAATTCCCTATAAGAGAACTTATACTACGCACGTAGATACCAACTCCGACGTGGTCTACGCACCGAGGAGGATCTGAGTCATTTGGATGTTTCTCAAATCATATGCATATTTCTCAATTTTTCCTCTGTATAATCCTACGACAATATGCCTGAGCGGCTGATTTCATGTACGTAGGATCCAGGTTGTAACTGGTCTACATAAGGTCTCGCGGCCCAAGAATCACCGCGAACTTCAGGTAGTGTCCATCGAACGATGAGAACAGCATGTTCAAAGGGCCCTTTCTCGAGGTCCCTCATCACCTCTCATGGCCTTTGAAGGTTACGGAGAAGAAAAAATCTTGCCAGTTCATGCAGACGAAAAATGACTCGCGCATTTGCATGATGAACTGACTAGTCTGGTCCTAAACGGATGCTTTGTACACTTCCTGAGTGCAATTTGATTGGGGTTGTCGTTTGATAATAGAAGCGAAGAAATACTTCCGATAATTTCAGTGATCGCTGATCGTTGGAGCCGTTTGAGACTAGCCTGTGGCCTGACTCTGTTGCTTGTGTTCCCGTGCTTGTATAAATTCGCATCGTGTGGCCCCACCTGGCTTGGCTCGGTTCTTCTCGGCAACCAGCTTTGCATGGATGACAGTGCAGCGATATTGCCAATCAATGCGGCTTAGTCTGAGATCAGTCTTGAACTGTGAAGCTCGTTTTAAGTCTAGCAGGTCTTGGACGCTCCAAATCCACATGTAGAAACTAGTCTACATGGGGATACTGTCGTCCCAAAAGAGAGCAAGATTAGATCCTTCTTTTGGTTTTAATATTGGATGAAAAATGTCATCTTGTTTGAGTCAACCCCAAACGAGCATTGCTCACATGCCTACTTGAAAACAACTTAAAGTGCAGGCATTGCAACAGCAGCTTGCCACCGAGTTTGTGCAGGGCCAGCAGCCTGAAACGTCCCTTCGAGAGAAGAGCGGCCAGGGTGTGGTTCACGGGGCTTGCAGGATACAGGATTCGGCGTACTTGTGGCTTGCATATAAGTGCCGTGCCTTCTTGTGCTTTCACGCAGCTGTGGCTTGATTTGCATGATCTGCCCGGTTTACCTTCAGAATGCGCATGTATAGCTATAGAAACATGTACGCATATGCTATCCCCCGTCATGAACCGACGTTTTCGGGGCTGTCGGGATTATTACCTCTGACTACTGTACTTGTCAGGATGCCTTTGCAACATGGTGGCGCATATGGTAAAGTGGCACATACAAGAACCTTGACCCTAGGTAAGAACCAATTAACAAGCAATCAGATTTAATTGGAATTCTACTCATTCATTCCTAGAAGTGGTCCTTCAGTCTAAGATAGAACTCAATGTAAAACCAATTAACTTAAATTGTGCTACAACTCATGCTCAGGAGGTTCCTAATTGTGTAAGTATAGCAAACAGGTAACAACCAACAAGTTGAACTGGAACTCTGCTAGTTCCCCGAAAGTTCTTCCTTAAGTCTATGAAGAATCTTAAAACATTCAAACTGCGTAAATGAAGATGAGTTGCATCTCTGGGAGTCCTATATAGAAGCCAGCTACACCCTTCCTGGAATATCTTGCTATGAAATGCATATTGAACAGTTAATTCCTGCGCAGAAGCTTTTCTTGAAATCACTGGGTGTTGCTACGCTTCGAAGGTTCTGATTCTTATATAGAAGCCGGTTCAGATACATCAAATAAGATCCAACCCCATCCAACAAAATCTCAAATTCCGAATAACCCATTTTGTTCCGTTGAAACCCATACCAGGACTAATCAAATTCTGGTAGAGTTCTGCGCTCATGTCTGCATAGCCAAAGCCTGCTTGAGACATCTAAGTCATCAAATGTTGTTAACTTTCAGTGCAAGCCGGTTCAGGAACATCCAAAAATCCAGCCCATTCCTACAATGTCCTTCATTCCCCACAGCTCATCGCACGACTACTCGCATTCAAGAAGAATTCCACGCATGCGTCTGAATACAAAACCTGCTCGCGAATCTAACTCACTCTGATCAGGTCTTCGCGCATTCGCAGTTACGTTTAGAGATGGTCCTTGGCATTACGTAGCAATCAGCTGTAACCAAATCTATTCTGGAGCCGCTTTGTGGCCAGACCGCTCGCCCGAACAGCTTCTTTTTTTGGATCTCAGGCATTGGGCTGTCCCCTTATAATCCACTTTCTGAATTTGATTGAAGCAGGCCTAGATTCGGAGTCTCGTGCTTTTCCGGATATGACGATTTGCATTCAGCGACAGGTATCGGAGTCCTCCAGCACGACCTGGCGTACGAACCCAAAATATCCAACCCCCACCAAACAAAAACCTAGAAAACAACAACAAAGGTGTCGCGACAACAGAGTGAACTAAAAAGACAAAAACAAAGGACAACATTTTTGCGGAAGTCTCCTGACACGATTTGCCGGCTAGCCTTTGGGGGCTCAGCTCCAGGAGACATGGATGATTTATATGGTTTTCTGTTTTTCGTGGAGACTTTTTTTCCTTTGGCATGCGAGCCACACAGCCAAGCCGAGAAAACAACATCAACGGTGAAACAATAACGCCACAACAACAACAGCAGCAAGAACAGGTTTCACAGTTCGTTTGATTGGCCAGCCTTTGGGGCCTCAGATCCAGGAGTATTGCAAAATCAGCGTCATTTTGTTGTTGTGATTACGTTTTGTTCATTTTTGTTGGTTTTGGTTTTTTCGGCTTGTCTGTAAATTTGCGCGATTCGTGTACTGCTACTCGGATGCCACCCCTCAGCGAACATGACCATGTAGTAGATACCAGAAACGGGCAGGTGTTAAAATCAAATGTCGTTACCTCGGAGGGGGTCCCCTTATCATACCTGGGCGTGTGCGCGCGCGCGCGCGGGTGTGTGCGGGTGTGTGTGTGTGTGTGTGTGTGTTTTGTTTTGCTGCTGTGGGCCTGTGCACCAGGGTTTGGTTGCTGCTGCTGCACGACGTTATGACGGGTCTCGCAACAACATGGGCTCACTCCTCGCACGCGTGGCAGTGTACACGCGCACCACAGCCTGACATTCAAATACAAAGATTAGATGCCCTTCAGACTTCACTTCTCTTCACTTCATTTGAGGCACCTTCTGCCTCCAACGCTGGTGTTCGCCCTCACGCTGGCCGGAGTTGTCAAGGACCTGTAACAAGGCGAAGACCACTTTTCCCCTCAACCAGTCCTCAACCTCCAAGTGCCAGTCTCACGGAAGCTCCTCCCGAGCATTCCCCTGTCTTGGCGGATTGAGCTCCAGCAATGCGCATGTGCTCAGAGCGAGGCAGTGCATAGCAAATCTCAGGCGTCTTGACTCAACCACAGTTGATTCAGTACTTCAAGCCTTCTGTTGAAGCCTGCAAATTCATGTCCGCCATGATCAGGACACCTGCGACTCCCTTTCTTCTCTGGCGTTGTACGGCCTAGCGGACACGGTGGCTACGAGTCGCTGCTTCTTCCAGTCCCTGCAGGCTGGGCTAAGTCTACGTGTCTTTGTCGGATGAGATTGGTGTCCAGGGTTTTCGTTGTCTAGCATTCCATTCCGCTCTAGCTTTGAATCAGGCATGTATATCTCCCTCGCGCATTTTGGGTGCATGTCCCCAGCCAGGGCTGGTGGCCCATGTTTAGCGAAGCATCCAGGGTGCGAGGCATCGACTGAGCTCGAACAGTTTTTTTGGCACTTCGCAAGGTGACAAACGGTTACAGTGATTCTGCGACGCCTGCTGCCGTCTGCATTGTGCACGCCCTAAATCCTCAAAGCAGCGAAGGTCTAGAATGAGGACGCCGTACATGTCGCATTGGTATGAAGACAGGTGTCTCAAGTAGGTTTCCCTGTCGAATTGTCTAGCCCCTCATAAGAATCAGGACCTATTAAGTGGACCTTCAGGCTCACATGGAGATCAAGTTCTATGAGCGAAGCATCACGCATCCTCGCTTCGTCCTGCGATACACTCTGTCGCTGACCATCGCCTTCCTGATCGGGTGGTGGCCCGTCTTAGAAGAGTAAGAACATAATTGCTGAGAAAGCTTCAAGCCTTCCAGGACAAGCCACCGCTAACAGCACCACTCACTGGGCCAACAGGTCCCAGACCCCCGATCATCCCCAAGCCTGCTGAGTACTTGACAGGGAATTTAAGCCTGAAGCCATTCAAAATTCAAAGCAGGCTTGGCATCTCCAACGTGCTCGCCCCGTACTCCTCCACGCCGGCAGCCACGGTCAGCGTCATCATCTACACCTTCACAGGCTCCAGCCTGCCTGTGACCATGAGGCGCCAAGCAACATGACAAAAGGTTGTTTGCAGCTGGGAGATGCTTTTCCTTGGCTTCCTGCCACCAGGCGTCTCAACGGCGTTGTTGTGGGGACTGTCATCGGCAGCATTGCCCAGCGCCTCTTTGCGGTGCAGCTGGTTCCGCGACACTGTCTGATTTGGAATCCTGTAAGGGTGACGTGCATGGCACGCTGAAGCTACAGATAGGTGAGTAGATGTCTCAGCAGAAATGGTAGATCCTCCTTTGGCCGCCACTCTGCCATGCCTGATTTTACTTTGTGCTAGCACGCCCAAGCTTGGCGTCCCTCCACAGGTTTTCCGGGCGGTCTGTTTTGGCCTCTTCCAGCTGGTGATCGTGACAGTGCTGATCCTCGTCAGCGGCTTTTCTTGCACGCAGGGGCTCCTGCAAAATCTATGAAGGCCTCATAAATAAGGCCCCCCTGAAGCTTGAGCCTTGATCCTGAGTCTCCGGCAGGGGGACAAGTATCTGCAATCCTGCCAGATGTCCGCTGGTTGTCCACTCATGCAGCTATTTTTTAAAATTCATTTTCAGGTCTTGTCCTGCAGCATGCTGTATCTCAAGGTCTGCAGTCAAAGCAGCATGGCGGTCTCGCCTTGCTCATAGCTGCCTTCGCCATGTCTTCATGCATGCCTTCGGGAGGCCAATTCTTGCAAGCACTCTGATAAGTATTGATTCAGCACGTCGTGTTGCTTGCGCCTCTGTAGTAGCTCCTCAAGCTGCTGAACATGGCACAGTAGGAGGTTCCCCAGTCAGCACTGCGCAGAGATAATGTAGTCCAGGCAGACAGCAGGTTCGTAGAGCAGCGGAGTCGTTTCGTGCAGCAAGCCAGTTCTCCTCAGCTGTGTAGCCGACAAGAACACCCTTCACACAACATCATGCTCAGCGGACATGATTTCTATGTCCCTCCCATACCGCATGTACTGAACTGCGCAACCATGGAAGCCATCCCACATTGCGCCTGGAGTGCCCGACCCAACTGTACTAGAACAGTTGCTCATAGTATGGGATTGTCCGCTTTGTTTAACGCATGTGTGTTTTCTAGACAATTACAAGCGCCAACTTCCCCAAAGTCTCAGCCCAAACACAGCAGCTGTCAGATCTGTCAGGTATGTTCCGGCCATACAGCGAGAAGATCACCGCAGCGGACGGCAGCTTCCTCTTCGCTAAGATTGTGGGCACCTTCATCGGTGTTGCAGTCTTGTGCCACGGCAGGGTTTCGTCAGCCACGGTTTAGCGTGAGCCCAGCATCTCCACTCTAAGCAGACATAATGCCTTCGTGCCAGTTTCTAGTGACTAGTGCAAGCGACGAAACACGGGCTCCCAGCCTGCCTCCAGAGATAAGTGCACACTGAGCTCGATCTGATGCTGGTCAAAGTGCTGCACCGATTGTGATGCCACACCTCATTCAGGGCACTGCTGCAGTGCTCCGAGGATCCTTGTGGATTTCATCCTCAGTTCCAGTGCCCGCCGGCAAGCGAAGCAGAGGCTTGGATTCTGCCTGGGGTCAGTTATATTATATTGCATTAGTGGTCAAGAGATCATAATATGGTAGTTTCCACAACCCAACATACGATAATCCTTACTATAGGGATGCCCCAGTCACAAAAGTGCCCAAATTAGGGGAAACCCCCATATCCAGCCTGTATGAGGTTGGGGAAGCTGGCTCAGGATGCCTTACGAGGAACCCTTGAAGTTTCTGACCATATGCAGAACAGCTGGGCATCCCCTGAAAACCCCATGAAGGCATTTTTATATAAAACG